CTCTAGAGAAACCTGTTAGCAGCTTTTTGGGCAGACATGCATGAATTTCATGCTATCCATATAAACACCTTTATTTTTCTGGAGAAAAAACTGCATTGGAAACATAAAAAAGAAAAAAACTTACATAGGATTTTTGCCTAACCACACAGACACATCTGTGATATCAACTCCTTTTTAAATTACAATTATCTTTTTTTATATTTCATGTTTTATTTTAAGCATGAAGTTGGGAACTCATGGCTTTTTATGAACTCAACTTTTCTAATTGACCATTATTATTTATTTCATGCTCAAACTGGTACAACCCAGCCAGCGAGAGCTGGCTCCTGTGTTCGGCTACTTTCTCTTTTTAGCATTGTCCATCAGAAATCAGGCTCCAGATTTCCTGGGAAACAACACAATCAAGGCCCATACTGACTTATTTTTTATTTATTTATTTTTTCCTGTCTCAAGGCATAGAGGCAACTACCCTCCAAGGAGCCCTGATTCCTTTTAGTTAATTAAAAAAAAAAAAAAGTAGAGATTAAAATCTGAATGTCTACAGTTAAGTATAAGAGCTGGTATTGGGTCAAGTGCTGCCTCTGTTGCTGCTATTGGGTCATCCTGCTGTGATGGAGCTGAAAACACCTTCAGTCATGAAATCACATTGAATTCTGCAATATAATATATATTATATTGTAGTCTACTTCTCTAATGTGATTTTGTTCAGCACTAAAACTTTCTCCTAAATTGACATTCCATATGAAGTCAATTCTGAACTATTGATTTTAACACTTCAAATACTTCTTGTACCACTATTCTCTCTGTTGCATTAGTTGCTGCTTCATCTGGACCCCATTTAGGCTGGGTCACAGAAGCAGCCTCCACACTGTCCTCCCAGGCCCGGTCTACCTACACTACGTCTGGACATGGCTCTCTTTAGCACCTCTTAACTACCCTCTTTTTTTAAAAAAAATCTTTCAGTGGTGCTTCTTGGGAAGTTCTACTGGACCTTCCTGGAGCTCAGTCCAGCATGAAACTGCCAAGGAGGACCACCCACCTCCAGTCCCTTAGGTTTGTCACCCCAAAGCTGGTGGAGGGGAGTGCTATTTTCTTATTTCCTGTCTACTTTCTTGCTGCTCCCACAGGGAAACATTCAGATCTTATTTCATTTTAAGCATTCTCTGCTAATCAGTAAAAGTAAAAACACGAGTGTTAGCACAGCTAATACCAGACAGTTACAAAGCAAAGTTCATGTTATGTGGTTCTGGTCTCTTTAAGGCCCAGCAGTCACTGGCCCACTGGGGCTTGGGAGGGAAAGAGAAGCTGGAAGAGTCTGCAGAGCCCCAGGCAGGTGAATGATTTTCAGTCCCCAATCTTTACTATAAGTCTGTTCAACATTTATATAAGGCAGCAGAGTTGACCTCTGAGAGGGACGTTTTATTAGATTCCCACTGGAGGGGTCTATTTGTTTCAACAAGAGGTAGGATCTACTCACATTTTGTCAGTTATATGGAAACTTGAGTCCGCTGGCACCAGACTTCTGATTTATTACAGTAATGCTTCTATCTCTAATGGATGGTACCTCAGGAAGCTGTCCTTTAATTCCTCTCTAGGTGCTGGAAGCCAGATAGAAAGGGCAAGATCACATCTTTAGAGAGTGACTGCAGGGAGTTGGGATCAGAATGTTGATCCCAAAAGGGCCGTGGGGTATCCAAGGCCTGACGCAAGCTTCAGGGTGCCTGAGCATGAGAAAGAGGAGATGACAGCAAGCATCACTGGGTTGAAACAAAGTGTGCCAGCCTCTCTTCTTCCTTGTTAACAGAACCCCACTTCCGTGCATTAAAAGCAATGTGTCTAGCCCAAGCCAAAAAAATACACAATCCGCCGGGCGTGGTGGCTCAATCCTGTAATCCCAGCACTTTGGGAGGCCGAGGCGGGTGGATCACGAGGTCGAGAGATCGAGACCATCCTGGTCAACATGGTGAAACCCCGTCTCTATTAAAAATACAAAAAACTAGCTGGGCGTGGTGGCGCGTGCCTGTAATCCCAGCTACTTAGGAGGCTGAGGCAGGAGAATTGCCTGAGCCCAGGAGGCGGAGGTTGTGGTGAGCCAAGATTGCGCCATTGCACTCCAGCCTGGGTAACAAGAGCGAAACTCTGTCTCATTAAAAAAAAAAAAAAATAGCCGGGCGCGGTGGCTCAAGCCTGTAATCCCAGCACTTTGGGAGGCCGAGGCGGGTGGATCACAAGGTCGAGAGATCGAGACCATCCTGGTCAACATAGTGAAACCCCGTCTCTACTAAAAACACAAAAAAGTAGCTGGGCATGGTGGCGCTTGCCTGTAATCCCAGCTACTCAGGAGGCTGAGGCAGGAGAATTGCTTGAACCTAGGAGGCAGAGGTTGCAGTGAGCCGAGATCGCGCCATTGCACTCCAGCCTGGGTAACAAGAGCAAAACTCCGTCTCAAAAAAAAAAAAAAAAAAAAAAAAATACACAATCCATCATTAGACCAACATAATCATGACAATCCCAATTTGCTTTTGGCGGGTACGTGCTCGCCCAGACTAACTGCAATGGAGCCCCTAGTTCTAGCCGATGACAGGCAGAAAGCTACTGGAAATTTCTGGAAAGGCCTCTGTAGTCTGATAAGATACATGGCAGGAAGCTTGCTTGTCCACCACCAACTCTTGCCTTTGAGGACTGCTGGGAAACCTAGAGGTAAACATCTACCCTGATACAGGACACAAAGGTTCCTCATGATATCAGAGTCCCTGTTCCAGCCCTGAAATTGTCTGCCTCCAGTCGTTCCTGTGAGATCCTGAGACGTGTCCACTGCTGAAAACTCTGTTAGATTAGGGGTGTCTTGTTCTGGGCATTTTCCCATTCACCAAAGTGCCAGGCATTAAGTGGGCCCTTTCAACTTGGAACATCAAGCTCTTTCGTTCTGGAAATTTCCTTTAAATTCAAGGTACCATCACCATGAAATTTCAGAAATTCAAAGAGAAGATCCTAAAATCTTTCAGAGAGAAAAAAATGACACATCACTTCTCAACCATACTGAAAAAACTGAAGACAATGAAGCCCGCCTTCAAAATGCTGGGAAGAAAGTCTTTTCAATCTAGAACTCCATACAAGCCAGAATTTAAATTTGAGGGTTGAATAAATATTCAGATATTTGAGAGTTTAGAAACTTTTTAGCTCGTGTGCTTAAGAAGGCACTAAAAATGGTGTACTCCTGCGAAAGAAGGGAATAGGTGGAAGCAGCCCACCCCCACACTCCAGTGCTCCAGAAGTAAAACTGTTTGCAAAAATCACTGACCATCTCCTGTCTGTAGAACCTAAGACATGCATCTGTTTTTGCCTTACTTGAACTCTCTGGCACTGTCCTCCAGTTGGCATTATATGTATATATATATATATATATATATATATATGGGTTTTTTTTTTTTTTTTTTTTTTTTTGAGACAGAGTCTCAACTGTCACCCAGACTGGAGTGTAGTGGTGCGATCTCAGCTCACTGCAACCTCCATCTCCTGGGTTCAAGCGATTCTCCTGCCTTAGCCTCCTGAGTAGCTGGGATTAGAGGCAGACACCACCACACCCGGCTCATTTTTATATTTTTTAAGTAGAGACAGCGTTTCACCATGTTGGTCAGGCTGGTCTCAATCCGCCCACCTCGGCCTCCCAAAGTGCTGGGATTACAGGCATGAGCCACCACGCCCGGCCTAGAATATTTCTTTTTCTTTTTTTTTGAGATGGAGTCTCACTCATTGCCAGGCTGGAGTGCAGTGGCTCAATTTCGGCTCACTGCAACCTCTGCTTCCCGGGCTCAAGTGATTCCCCTGCCACAGCCTCCAGAGTACCTGGGACTACAGGCACACACCACCACACCTGGCTAATTTTTTGTATTTTAGTAGAGACGGGGTTTCATCATGTTGGCCAGGCTGGTCTCGAACTCCTGACCTCGTGATCCACCCACTTCAGCCTCCCAAAGTGCTGGTATTATAGGTGTGAGCCACCACGCCCAGGCTAGAATATTTTCAGGTAAGTCTTTCCACACTGCTCTAATGATTCTTGACTAATTTCGTATAGCCTCTGCTTTCCATACCTCTTAAATGCCGCATTTCCTCTGGTCTTCTCTTTCCAACTCCTCTTAATTTTACCTCCTTGTATCTATAAAATTAGTGCACTCATTTCCAATCCCGCTGCAACTGTCTTAGTTCAGACCCTCATCATTTGTCTGTATTTTGTAAATAGCTTATTTCTAGTGGTCTTGTAGCCCCCAACTACTCCCAAGCGATACTTTGGGCAGCCAAATTAATTCTAAAACATCTGATCATGGCGCTGCCCTCCTGAAAACCTTTCAATGACTCCTTATGACCAGTAATAGTTAAATCTTCAATGAGTAGGTCCCCACAGGCTCTCTCATCCCTCAACCAAGAATCTGGGAAGCCACACTGCCCCAGTCCTTCGACGTGCAGCAGCCTCTACCACTCCTCAGTTACTAGTATCTCCTGCCAGTGCTTCCAGACCGCGCACCGGGCTCCCCTCCTTTCTGCACCCGACCCACCCTTATGCACCGAGACGACGCAACCGTCCTGTGGCGCCACCGCCCAGGACAGCAACCACTCGCGATGCTGTGCTGGCCCTCCTAAGACCTCCAGCGCGCGGCTGTGTCTTAGTGACCCTGGGACCGCCAGCCAGGCACCGCGCCCGACGCAGGCTCAGTCAGTGTTGGTAGGATGCATTAATGAATGGGAAAAAAAACTAAAGTCTCTCTCTGTGGCCCTGCTCCCATCCAGCTGTAGGCCTAGGTTTTGGTTTTATCCGAAGACTTAGACAAGGGACGCAAGTTCCTTTGCGGAGCCAGAGGAAATAGCTCAGCTCTGGACAAGAGCTTGCGACCCAAACGCGCGAACCCGCCCAGACCCAGCTCGCTGGCCCCATTTCGGCGCGCGTCGCTTACGTCACAGCCTCGTCTCTCCTCTTCCATAGCCACACCCCCTCGCCGGGCGACCCGGAAGTTGTATTTGCAACTGCGACTTTCCTTCTCCCACAATTCCTTGCGCTCTTTCTTTCCACCTCGGACCCGACAGGGTGAGTATGTGTGGCGGAGGCTGGGCTTCTGGAATCCGGACCCATCCTCCTTTAGGATTGTGCTAACTGGGACCGCGAAATCTCTCCCAAGCCAGCCCTGGGCTCCGGTTTTGGAGAGATGGGAATACACACTGCTTTTAAGGGCTCCCGGAGCCCGAGGAGGAAAGTGACCAGGCTTAGGGGAGCCGGGGCGGCAGGGATTTCCGGGTCGGAGGCATCTGAGAGCACGGTGCATGGGCCACTGGGTGACCGACTTAGCGTGGCCAGATCTCAGCACCTGAAAGCGCCCCGAGAGTGACAGCGTGAGGTTGGGAGGGAGGACTTGGCTTGAGCTTGTCCAACTTTGCTCTGAGCCTCCTTGTTGCCTGCATTTAGATGGCTCCTGCAAAGAAGGGTGGCGAGAAGAAAAAGGGCCGTTCTGCCATCAACGAGGTGGTGACCCGAGAATACACCATCAACATTCACAAGCGCATCCATGGAGTGTGAGTATCCCCGTAGCCGCCCTGAAGCGCAAACTCACGCGTCTGGCTGTCACTCTCAGAGATGTGCCGAATCGTCTCCACCCCAGTCTTTTCCTCGTGTCCTTCCCTGTTTCATTCATTGGCAAGTGAGCAAATCCTGTGGACTCTACCTTCCAGATACATTCACGGTCCGACCAGTTGCATTGGTCTTTCTGACCGCCCCCATTCTTTCTTACCTGAGTGCTGACAGTAGTAGTTCCGTGCTCCTGTTCCCTTCCCTACCCGCAAACATGTATTGTCTATTCTCAGATCCTCCAACGGCCTTCTGTCTTAGGTTAGAAATCAAGAGTTCTTGCTATGGTCCCACATTGGCTGACTCACTTAATCATACCGGGCATGCTTCTGTTTCAAAGTAGCTGCTTTGTTGAATTTTTACTTTTCCCCCATGCCTGAATGCTTTTTCACAGATAATTAAATGCTTCGTTGCCGTAAAACCTTGAGTCCAATGTCAGCCTTGGCCCCCTTTTTTTGATAAGAGTTTCGCTCTGTCTCCAGGCTGGAGTGTAGTGGCCCGGTCTCCGCTTCCGTTCCTCAGCCTCCTGAGTGGCTGGGACTACGGGTGCCCGCCATCACACCTGGCCCACCTTGGTTGTCTTATAGAAACTTCCCTTCCCTAATGTTTCCTCTCTTTCTTCCCTGGTTTTTCTCTGTAGTATTAGATACCATCTGATGGACTCAATAGGTTGCTTACATAAGCTCTGTGAAGCTTATGTAAGCAACCTGTGGATTTATGGATTGTCAGCTGCTGTTATTTCTAGTACCCTTTACTTCTGTGTTAAGTATTTAAGTGAAATGCGCTTACTTGATGGGTTCTGGAAATGGCGTCATATACTACTGGAGAGGATAGGGCAAAGGAAGTAGTTTACAGTTTGGGGCGGTGGGACACCTCTGTAGGCTGTTTGGTCTCTGCCTCACTTGAAATGATCTTATCCAAATGGTTGGTCTTTTTAGCCTCTGTAGAGTTCTGCATTTTTGCATCTCTTATTTAACTGTAAGCATAAAATTTAAAGGTACCTGTGTACCCTCATCGTGAACAGAGGGTTATTAGTACCTAACTCGGAGTTCTGAGCAGACATAAGTTAATGACATGCACATGCTGCTCTTTGGATAGAGACTGGCAGATGGAGAGCTCCATGGAGTTAATCATTGCCCTCATCATACTCAAGAGGAGGTCTGCCTGCACATTTCAGATCCCTGCTCTTTTAAGTGTAGACGACGTTAATAGCGTTGAATGATCTGTCTGTTCCAAAAACATGTCTTGAGGACTTCATGGTTTATGCATCTTATCCTAGTTATGGTGCTAGTTGCTGAGTGTTGCACACTGGTGGCGAAAAAAGGATTGTTCCTGCCTGGTTTAAGGTTTGGCCTAGGTTGATTTTATGACAGGAGGACATAACATCTACAGTAAGTCTTCACTGAACTTTAAGCACACTGGCCTACTGTATGCTGTAAAAACGTGGTTTTGTTATAGAGGACATTGCTTAAAGTCCATTTCCAGGAGCCTATCAGTGATACTGAGGACTTCTTATATGTATCTAATTTAATTTTGTGCTCCTTTTGTTAATTTGTTCACTTATGTTTGAATCTTAGGGGCTTCAAGAAGCGTGCCCCTCGGGCACTCAAAGAGATTCGGAAATTTGCTATGAAGGAGATGGGAACTCCAGATGTGCGCATTGATACCAGGCTCAACAAAGCTGTCTGGGCCAAAGGAATAAGGTGCTAAAGTTATCTGTATTAGAAGGTGAACTTTCACAATGACAGCAGCATATAGGGCGCTTACCCTGCAGAGCCCATATTAGTTGAGTAATTTGGTTAATGCATGTGGAAGTATAATGAAAATAACTGTGAGATGCCTCAGGGTGGGCTAACATCTGCAGGGAACCCCTAAATGTGCCTTACAAACTGAGACCCAGGTGAAGGAGCCAGCACTGTAGAGTGGGAAAGAGCGTTGCACAGAGGAAGCTTGGTGGAATCTGGGAGCAGGGTGGTTAGGGCAAGTTGGGTGGAATAAGTGACTGCAAGCCCAGTCAAGGAGGGAGGGATGAGGGCAGACCTTGTAGGATATATAGATAGCATGACAAGTCTACCATGAGAGAAGTGGTTCTCAGCCTGGGGCAGTTTTACCTGTCCCTTCCCAGGGTTGTTGCGGGGGGCGGTGGGGGGACAGTTTTTTGTTGTCACTACTGAGGCATACTATGGGCCAGGGACTACTAAACACCCTACAATTCATGGGGCTGCTCCCACAACAAAGAATTGTCTAGCCCAGGTGTTAGTGCTGACATTCGACCCTGCTGTGGAGTGGAACCAGAAGGCAGAGGAGGCTTGTGCTTTGAAAAGGACATCTTGTCAAGTGGCAAAAGTAGAGTGAGGGGCAGCTAGAGGAATGATGACAGTGTGGACTAGTTGATTCTGGAAATGGATGGCAGAGGGACTGTCTGCATCTGGGTATTTAAACCTTAAGATTTAGTAAGATGAACAAGAGAGGGACCTGAGACCCAGCTTTTCCGTGGGTGGGCCCTACAGGGGTGCAGCAGGAGAGGTGTCCAGTAAAGGAGCCTCCATTCCCTTCTTTGGGATAATAATAGGAATGGGATCACAGGAGCCAAGAGAAGTCCTGAATTTATAGAAATCCGGGGCCCAGAACAGTATCAGGCATATCATGATATACATAGAGGAAAAAGAATCAGCTGTGATGCTGGGGGGGAGGGTAGAACAGGAGGAAAGGATTGCATGCGGAAGCTAGAGAAACTGAGTATGCGCCTGGGCAGAATTTTTAGGTGTTTCTTCACCTTTTTGTTTTGTTTTGTTTTTTGCGGGATGAGAGCTAGGGGATGAGATGGTGCCCAGGCTGGAGTACAGTGGCGTAGTCTCAGCTCTGCAACTTCCACCTCCAGGTTCAAGTGATTTTCCTGCCTCAGCCTCCCAGGTAGCTGGGATTACAGGCACCCGCCACCACACCTGGCTTGTTTTTGTAGTAGAGACTGGGTTTTACCATGTTAGCCAGGCTGGTCTCGAACTCTTGACCTCAGATGATCTGCCCATCTTGGCCTCTCAAAGTGCTGGGATTACAGGCACAAGCCAGCCATTTCTTCATGTTTTACTATAACAGAAAAATAGCATAACAAGTTTCTGGCACTACAGACAAAAGACTGACACATTTGGACCCAGATACCTGCTTAGGATTAACTGGTTGAATATCAGGATAAATTCTTGGTTGGTCACACTAGATGACAGGACAGCATTAGAAGCAGGGATGAGATACATGAATACAGCTGGCAGCTGCTTGGTTGAAAGGATGCATTGACTTTAGCAACACAATTATGTGTTTATTAGGAATGTCCCATACCGAATCCGTGTGCGGTTGTCCAGAAAACGTAATGAGGATGAAGATTCACCAAATAAGCTCTATACTTTGGTTACCTATGTACCTGTTACCACTTTCAAAAGTAAGTTCTCCATCCCATAAAGCCATTTAAATTAACATTAGAAAAATGTCCTTAGCTCTGTTAAAATGTGAATTCATCTGTTAAGCTGGGGGTGATACACATCATTATACCTTTTTTAAAATTGTGTGTTGGTGTGGGAAGACGCTGAAGAAAGCACATCTGGAATGTGAAAAGATGAGGAAAATGGAATGCTACAGGCCCAGGCCCTCCTACAAAAGGTTTCAAGAGTTAAGATGCGAGATGTGATGTGGGTGTGGAAGCTGACTGTCATTTCTTTTACAGATCTACAGACAGTCAATGTGGATGAGAACTAATCGCTGATCGTCAAATACATCAAATAAACTTTAAAAATTGCCTTTATGTTTTGGTTCTTTTTGGTTAAAACATAATGTGCTTGTATATCCTATCCTAATTATGGGATCATTTGGAGAGCTTTTCTCACACTGATGGCCTCTGCTGCCTTCCCCTGGGGTTAGGCAGGTTTTTAAAGCTGATTTCGAAGTGCAACCTAGTATTAGAACCACTCTTCTGGGTATTTGGGATACTGAAGGTATATTGTTAATGATTCTACTTGTATGTTTTGTTAATGGTAAGATAAGCGTTTTTCCAGAAACCAGGGTGTAGAATTCAGTTGATATTGGCATCTTAACATTTTTAGGAAACAACTTTAAAATAATGTAACATCTGTAGCATCTTAAATTTAATGAAATTAACATGGCAGAAGGTCTTTAAGTTTCCGCCTACATCTATATTGAGTATTGTTGTCTTCTAAAATAATTGATTTTTGGTGAGGTAACCAGATTAGTATTTTAAGTCATTTGTAATGGTCACGTGAGTTATTTGTAGTCTCAGGTACTTGGAACCAAGGTTCAGAAGTTCCTTAAGGTATCAATAACAAAAATTTGTAGTAATAATTCAGTCCTGGGCTAGGCATGGTGGCTCATGCCTGTACTCTCAGCACTTTGGGAGGCTGAGGCGGGCAGGATGGATCATGAGGTCAGGAACTCAAGACCATCCCGACCAACGTGGTGAAAACCTGTATCTACTAAAAATACAAAAAAAAAATTAGCCAGGCATGGTGACACACGCCTGTAGTCCCAGCTACTCAGGAGGCTGAGGCAGGGGAATTGCTTGAACCCGGGAGGCAGAAGTTGCAGTGAGCCGAGATTACACCACTGCATGACAGAGCAAAATATTTCAGTCCTAAAGCAGTGTTTCTGGGATTTTTTACCAGCATCGACAAGCTGTATGTTGAATGCTGCCATAAAGAGGTCTCTGAAGCCCCACTGGTGATGGTAGGGCACACCTAAGGTGGGGTTGAGGAGTACCTACAGTGTGTTAGGCCACCCAGAAACCATGGATGGGCAGTGGCGACGTCTCAGCTTACCCATTCACTAGCACAGTCTACAGCTTAAGACACTTAACTACAAAGTAAAAGAAAAGAACCAAGTAAATACAAAAAGTGTCTTATTAAAAAACTTGGAAGCCAACATTGAAAGCATGGTTTGTACACAACATTTTTGGAAGGACATATAAAGTGAATACAACCAAATATTAAAATGGTTTCAATTACCAGCATTGAAACAATTAGTGCAAAAAAAGCCAAATACAATTGCACAGATAGTGGACTCCCTTAGATCTTGAACGCGAACTTGATTCTTGACCTCTCCTATTGTCATTCCAAGTGAAAAAAAAGCATGGGGCTTTTCTTGCTTCTTAGCATGACACATGAATTGTGTTCATCTGAGCGCAAAATCACACTAGCATCACAGAAGTGCCCATTTCAGCAAATCTGGCAAAAACTAAGCATCAAGGGAACTGATGGGTACCCTAGCACACTGACAATCAAAGAATATATAGAAATGCTTGAGGATTGCGTCGGTTCACCTGCCTGGCCAGTTTGTCGGGTTGTTTATCCAGATGCCCCATTTGTAAAGTAGACTGAAATCTGAGTTTAGGGCTGACCCCAAGAAACAGTCTGGTCCGTGCTTTGGTATGGCCAACTCCAGTGTGCATAGCAGCTATCTTGCTACAAATTACTCAGCTTAAGTTCAGACTGTGATTGGCTCATTTCAAGAGTTTTAAGATTGTACTGATTGATCTTGGCATTTTCAAGTTTGGATTTCATGTCTAGTGGCTTTTCAAAAAAGTTTACTAATGACTGTTCAGTCAGAAGTGAAGCTAAAATATGTTCAAGGGAGACAGTCCAGTCCCCTTCTGCCTCCCTTGGAAACACCTGGGAGTCCTGAGGAGTTTTCCCAGTGTCCGCAAAAACTGAGTCCTGCTCAGGAGAAGGAGCTAAGGCCCGCAGCTCCTCCCCACACTCCTGGGAGCAGCTTCCAGAGCTGCTGCTTCGCTGCCCCACCTCCCCAATCTGTAGCAGCAGCGTGGTGACCGTGGCGATGGCTTGGTACAAGTCATTTTCTTCTGGATCTTCATGAAACATGCTGTACAGTGTTTTACAGAACTGGATAAATTCTCTCTGAAATGGAAATAAGTCTTTTGTAGCAGCAGAACCAAGGTGGAAGTGTCATTTTTTAACATTTTACCTGTGATCTTTGAGAAAACGACATAGTACTTTTGAAGACACAGAATATAAGAAAGGGTAGTCTCTGCCCTTCCACTCTGAAAACTATTAACAGTGGTGATTCCTGGGAATCTTAGCACACACTTGGAAATGGGTAGACCTTCCTAGAGGATGTGCGTATCTAACACAGCAATTCAAGAAACCACAGCAGGCCAGGCATGATGGCTCATGCCTGTAATCCCAGCACTTTGGGAGGCTGAGGTGGGCAGATCACCTGAGGTTGGGAGTTCAAGACCAGCCCAACCAACATGGAGAAACCCCGTCTCTACTGAAAATACAAAATTACCCAGGCTTGGTGGGGTGTGCTTGTAGTCCCAGCTACTCGGGAGGCTGAGGCAGAAGAATCGCTTGAACCCGGGAGGCAGAGGTTGCAGTGAGCCAAGGTCAAACCCTTGCACTCCAGTGTGGGCACCAAGAGCAAAACTCCATCTCAACCACAGCAATGTACAGATTTCTCTGTAGGGATCTTTAAGCTAGTTTATCATAGGAAAATGCTAGAAACAGCTGAAATGCTATCAAGTTAGGGCATGTTCCTCTGGTGGGAAGCCTATGCAGGACCTAAATGTAAAATGAAATGGAACAGTGATGCCTGTTTTCTCAGTGTAATCTGAGAGACTCCTGCTGAAATTGAGAATATGTAATGTGAGGACAGGTGCTTCAGGTGGGATCTAGCTACACAATTACTCCAGGAACAGAAAAACAGTTAGGTACTAATGTAACATCAATTTGGGGAAAAGATCCATGGTTATTTGAAAGAAAAGTAGAGTACTAACATGGCCCTTAATGTTAATTAATGTTTTGTTTGAAGCATTATCTATAGAAAAAAAAGGTATGTGTATCAAAACCATGAATACTGATAGCTCTGGGTGATGAGGTTTTAACTGACTTTGATCATATGTCCAAGGAGTAGAATGAACATCTGAGAGCAATTGTTGGTATAGTAGACAAGCAGCATTTCCCAAACAGGCTATGAAATGCTAATCCCACAAACTGTAGACTGAGAAAACCACATGCTAAATTCTACTCTTGAAGGCTCATAGTACACAGCACCAAAATGATTTAAGTCCTGCAAAAAAGGAATGCTTTTAACGTTAAGCCTACATTTCCTAAACATTGGGAGCAACCATTTTCAAAGTGCAACAAACCAACCTTCCACCATGATATGGAACTTGAATACAGCACAACTCTCTTCTGGAAGATGCTCAGAAGCTTTAGAGACTCCTATGAGTACTGTGTATCATGTAGCCAGTGATTTCCCAGGAAAGGGAGTGAGCACAGTATTTTTTAAGGGAAGAATGCTGCATCCACAGTCTCTACCTCCCAGAGGAATAAATCAGTATCACAACCTGGATAAATGAATTTTATATAAAAACTCCTCAAAGATGTGAAGTGTGTGGCAGCCTCCTCTTTGGAAGCACTTTGAATATGGAGCAGGTGTCACCAAACTACGGCCCACAGGCCGCATGCGGCCCCCTGAGGCCATTTATCCGGCCCCCCCACCGCACTTCAGGAAGGGGCACCTCTTTCATTGGTGGTGAGAGGAGCACAGTATGTGGCAGCCCTCCAACGGTCTGAGGGACAGTGAACTGGCCCCCTGTGTAAAAAGTTTGGGGACGCCTGATCTGGAGTATCCGGAGTTAATCACAATTTAATACTCACCATTTAATCACCACGAGTTCCACTTCCAGGACTTTGCGGGTAAAGGGGCCCAAGCTTGATTCCCAGATTAATCATTAAAAAAATAGTTAATTCTCTGCACTGAAGAAAGTTCATACCTGGCTCATTTTGGGCAATTCCTTCTCAGTCTTATCTTTTTCTTTGGCTAAATCCTTAATCATCTGCTTCAACTGTTTCTGGTAATCAACTGCACCACCTTGAAACGAAAACAATATGGAGTTTAAATAAATTCAATGAAAGCAAAAAGGAAACTAGGAGCGGGGAACAAGGAGGTGAGGAATTAAATTCCATACAAAACCGGAAAGCAAGAGACCCTCGGAAAGGCAGCTGATTTTACAACTGACCACAGATGGGTGGTAACTGGGCAACATCTGCTCCAAGAGGGCTTGTGAAACAGCAAACAGGAGGAAGGAACCTGGTGGTGAGGCAAGGGGCAACTACCCAGCAACACTCCCCCTTGGAGCGTTTCTGGCCTCTAGAGGCAGTGGGTTTGGGGATAATTCACTGGGCGAGGGGAAAAGGCAGGGCTGCTACAAGAAGAGGGGTGAGGGCAACACAGTGCCTGCTTCCGCTGCACTGGTGTGCGCCGGGGAGAGCTGCAATGAAAAGAGGTACATGCCATTGGGTTTCCCGAAAACCAGGGGTCTTGATGTTGACAACAGAGGATTCTTTAATGGCGACTGGCTGTCTCGGTCATTTTCAGTGAGTGCTTAAAAAAAGATGAGAGATTTAAATAAATTTTCTGTGTTACCAAAACTGACAGTAATGTAGCTTTTTAGGCAACTAAAGGCTAAGCCAGCAGCTCCCAACCTGTGGACTGTAGTTTTTGCAGGGTCCATGAACTCAAATGCACACCAAGCACTGTCTGGCTACGCAAAGAAAATAGAAAATAAAATGTCCCCCACACCAAATGTGCTTTTTCCCAGAGGCATGCGGAGACTGTTATAATTAACAACGTACACATTCATAGGACACTGCTGGGAATAAATCAAAGGCAAAATTCAGCTGCTATTCAACAGGTTTCCACAAGATGGCAGCAAAACTATGGAAAGCTACCGTTTTTCCAACTTGGCCCAAAACAAATTCTGTGCAGTGGCACATGTGAGAATCCAAACTGAATAGAAGAAAAATTGCAAACCCTGGTACCTGGGGCAGTCAGGATGGAAATGGATTTCCCAGGGAATAGTGCTGGGATGCCAAAGAGCTTGGCATACCACAAAGTAGAAACGTATATACAAGTCATCAATGAAATGTGATGGGAGCCATAGAAAGACAGCAATTAATCCAGGGGGTGGGCAAGTGTCCAACAAGGAGGCAGGTAAAGTATTCACAGTAACAAAGAGCCAAGGAGCCAACCAACCCCCAGAGCCTCCCAACCTCTGCCATCACAGCATATGCAGAGAACATCACCTGGACATGGAACTCACTGAAAATACTCATTCCACAATCTATTTATGATGAGAAGTATAGGTTACTATGCATCATGGGAAACAGTAACTACTAAGAATACATACAATCTTTAAAACTCCTTTCAATCTTTTTATGTATTTGGGCTGTTTAAACATGACCATATTTTTACATTCCTATATATATGTAGCCTGTAATTCAAGAATATAAATGGATTGAGAGGCGTTGTGTCTCACTTCAAGTACTACACAAGTTAAAATCAGATGAAGGATTTACATTTGGTCATCTGAAACCCCTATCTCAGACTTCTGTTTGAAGGTAGTAGGTAACTTCATTGCTCCAACAGATAGCACCGGCAGGAAAGTCTCTCCTTTTGGCCTTAGGGACCTTCATTACACATTGTACAGTTTTCATTTTCTATATCATTATCATTGCCACTGCCAGCTTCCTCACTTTCTAAATGGGATGCCTGTGGAGGGAATAAGCCAGTTTCACCATAAGCATCTTCTCTCTGGTAGAAGAGTTCACATACGGCTGTGAACACAATCTGGCCTTCAGATGCAATTGAGACATTACAGTAATCATCAAAATAATCCCATTCTCCACCATGCTTATTTTGTAAAAGCAATATAGGGCCTTCCTCTCATCCCTCCATAGTGGTTGAAAACAGCAATCAAATTATAGCAGTGAGGCCTTGCATTTGGATTAATTAGAAGTTCCAGTATAGCCAAGTCATTGATAGGTAAATCAACTAAGGTATCCAACTTGTTTTTCAAGGATCTATTGTTAAGAAAAATCACTTGAAATGCAACAGCTATGAGAGGCAGGGAACATACATCTGATTTCTTAGTGGCTTCTTGACGATTTGGATAATACCAGGAATCTTTAGCACTTAGTTTTCTTTTGTTGAAAGGTTCTGATGCAGTCACTGAATTTCACAAAAGTTTTTCTTTTTTTATGAAGTTTATATTCTATGTTTCCATACTTTTCAAAATCTTCTGTCACATTTTAACTCAGGAACCCAGTTCTGAGTTAAATTGGAATGTAAACTACCATTTTCTATGCCCCTATTAAACTGGAATATAAACTACACTGCCATTTTTTGTGCGCTGTGAGACGCTGACCTTTGCAAATTTCCTCAACACATCATCCATTTTCAGAATCATTATCTCCTCCAGCTAAATCTTTAGAATGACTGTTTTTATTCCTGAGGGAGGCTCTTAATCTGAGCTGCATCATCATTTGGTCAATCTGCTTCCATGTCACCTGGTGAGCCTTTTTTCCGTATGCAGTTTGGGCCATTCCCATTATTATTTTGGTCCTTAGAGCAGTGTAAGCATCCCTCAGTTTCTTGGGTTCCAGCAGATTCCTTGACATATTAGCACATTCTTAAAAGCAAGAGCTTACAGAGTTATCTTCAGTTTTGTTTCTTAGCATAGCCCTAAGAAAAAGCTGACCAAAAAATGAAGAATCAAGATGGTGGGTGTAACTTGAGTGTCATACTTATCTCTGACAACCAGTAGTCATATGGTCTCTTATCTTCACTCCTACTGACATCACTTTTAAACACATCCCATTCCGTAATGCATGTAAGGTTTTTCTCCACAGCAAATATTCTGTGAAATCTATTATTTTATAGTCATGTGTCACTTAATGACAGGAATACGTTCTGAGAAACACATCATTAGGCAATTTTGTCATTATGCAAGCATCATAAAGTGAACTTACAGAAACCTAGATGGTGTACCCTACTACACAACTAGCCTATAAACTCTATCGTTCCTAGGCTACAAACCTGTACAGCACATTACTCTACTGTAACACAATGGTATTTATGTATCTAAACCAGGTGTCCCCAAACTACGGACCGTGGGCCGCATGCGGCCCCCTGAGGCCATTTATCCGACCCCCTCCGCCGCACTTCAGGAAGGGGCACTTCTTTCATTGGTGGTCAGTGAAAGGAGCACAGTATGTGGCGGCCCTCCAACGGTCTGAGGGACAGTGAACTGGCCCCCTGTGTAAAAAGTTTGGGGACGCCTGATCTAAACATATCTAAATGTAGAAAATATACTATAAAAATAGAGTATAAAAGAACAAAAATTGGTATGCCGGTATAGAGCACTTACTATGAATGGAGGTTGCAGGGCTGGAAGTTGCTTTGGGCAAGTCAGTGAGTAGTGAGTGAATATGAAGGCCTAGGACATTAATGCACACTGCCATAGACTTCATACACACTTAGACTGTACTGAGTTTATTTTTAAAATATTCTTCTTGATCTTCAATAAATTAACCTTAGCTTACTGTAACTTTTTACTTTATAAACTTTAACTTTTTGACTCTTGTTTTAACACTTGCCTTAAAACACAAACACACTGTACAGCTGTGCAAAAATATTTTTTTTATATTCCTATAAAATCTTTTTCTATCAAAAAAATCTTTTAAACTTTTTTGTTACTAACCAAGACAAACACACACATTAGCCTAGGCCTACACAGGGTCAGGATCGTCAATATCAGTGTCTTCCACGTCCATATCTTGTCCCAACTGAAGGTCTTCATGGGCAATAACACACACAGGGTGCCCTCTCCTGTGATAACAGTGCCTTCCGGAATAGCTCCTGAAGGATCTGCCTGAGGCTGTTTTACAGTTTACTTGTTTTTTAATAAGTAGAAGGAATACATGCTAAGATAATGATAAATAGTACAGTAATTGCATAAACCAATAATATTCATTGTCATTGTCCAGTATTAGGTGTTGTATGTAATTTTATGTGCTAAGACTTTTATACGATGGCAGTAGAGTTGTTTACACCAGCATCATCATAAAAACATGAGTAATATGTTTTGCTACAGTGTTTACAATGGCTAAAAGAGGATTTTTCAGTCTCACTGTAATCCTATGGGACCACCATCATATATGCAAGTCTATCCTTGTCCAGAACATCTCTATGTGGCATTCAATGGTATGTGTTTATCAGTACCTACCATCTAATCTACAGATACCCTCAGCAAAGCAGACCATGCTATGCAAAGATCTTGTATATTTCAATTGTACTACACAGGTTTGGAAAGCAGATCCATTCCTTTTTTTTTTTTTTTTTTTTTTTTGAGATGGAGTTTCGCTCTTGTTACCCAGGCTGGAGTGCAATGGCGCGATCTCAGCTCATGGCAACCTCCGCCTCCTGGGTTCCGGCAATTCTTCTGCCTCAGCCTCCTGAGTAGCTGGGATTACAGGCACGCGCCACCATGCCCAGCTGATTTTTTGTATTTTTAGTAGAGACGGGGTTTCACCATGTTGACCAGGATGGTCTCGATCTCTTGACCTCGTGATCCACCCGCCTCGGCCTCCCAAAGTGCTGGGATTACAAGCGTGAGCCACTGCTCCCGGCAAGCAGATCCATTCTAACAGATATCCATGATACATCACTTTACCACAGGTGAGACAGGATCAAGTGACCAAAAGGATGTTACCAATAACTCAGCACACTCCAGACTTTTTAATATTAGTTTTCATACTAATAGTGAAGTAGCTACATGTAATTCCCAATTAGATTTTCAAAATGATTATCTCTTCAAAACAGATTGTCACCATCAGTGAGAAATTGAACAAGAAAGGGAAAGCAAATGGCATTTTTCTCTACTTGATGAAAAGTCATTATAGGGGATCTGAATGGTTCCAATGCTCGTAATTCTACTTCAAGCATGTGCTCATTCTGTTTATCAACCCCTTTTTCACTGACAAATGTAATGTTGACCATTTTTTCACTAATGGGACTAGATTTTGAATCTAATCAACACTTTTTCATATCAAGTATTTCAAAATAACAAAGCTTTCCCTCATTCATACACAGATATTGCTATACTAATCTATAATTATGTTTTAGAATTCAAATTATAACACTGACTAAACATCATTAATGAAGGATTTGTGACCCCTTTTTCAAAGTTGAACTTTTCCTTTGAATTCTTATTTTGTCATTACATGTTAATATAATTTTATGTGCTCTTTCAATTATCAAGTAAATTCATTCAGGTTTTCAATGTTTTAAGTGCTTTTTTTTTTTTTTTTATGAGAGGGAGTTTCGCTCTTATTACCCAGGCTGGAGTGCAATGGCGCGATCTCGGCTCACCGCAACCTCCGCCTCCTGGGTTCAGGCAATTCTCCTGCCTCAGCCTCCTGAGTAGCTAGGATTACAGGCACGTGCCACCATGCCCAGCTCATTTTTTGTATTTTTGGTAGAGACGGGGTTTCACCATGTTGACCAGGATGGTCTCGATCTCTTGACCTCGTGATCCACCCGCCTCGGCCTCCCAAAGTGCTGGGATTACAGGCTTGAGCCACCGCACCCGGCCGAGTGCTTTTTTTTTTAAAGCCAATAATTACCCTTAACCAACTGCAGATTGGAATTCTTCAAAAGGTTTCTCCTTTTAACTCAACTTGTTGACAAAATTCATCCTGTAGACAGCAGATGCACTTGGTTATGTATAAGACCTCAGAAGGAAACCTATCCCTTCACAGAAGGTTGAACACAAAGACTGGAACAGCTCCAATTTTATTAGTCAACATTTTAAGGACATTCTTTAATGTGGATTCAGGCTGACAGGCAAACCTTTCAGAGGACCTGTCTGTGAATAAAATAGCATATTCCCTGAATCTCAGAGTTCGCAGAAGGAACTCATGATGTGAGGGGTCCTCACAGACCCACTCAGTATACACACTTAGAGAAAACCTCCAAATTGTCTCATTTGTGTGTGTTCATTGACCATTTTCAATACATCTTTCTCGGCAGTTTGTTTCTTTCCAAGGAAAATAAAGTTCTTTCGGGAAGCTCTGCTCTGAAAGTCCAATGAGTATATATAATTAACTAAGCAAAACAACCAAAATCTGTAGGTTTATCAATCTGTGGTGAAAACTCTTGATTTCATAAACTTCTGGAATACTCTTTATCTGTGTACCTGATACGGTACCAAATCATCTGTAGTATTTCTTTCCTAGCTCCTGTGCTAAATAGTGTTACAATTGCCAAGAGCCCTTAAAGTGAGCCCTCCTGGAAATGGGGGAGGCCTTGGGCCTCAGCTCTTCATTGCTACCTGAGCTGCGGCAGATGCCTTTACGACCAAGCTCACAGAAGACATCTGGTCTCCTACGTTACCCTGGCAGAGGGCCAGACTTGCTCTACCCAGGCGGGTATATGCAGCAAGGCCTGATGTGCCATGTTTTGTACCCTTGCCTCTTCCACAGGCAAATAAGACGACTTAGGTGAAGAGAATTCGTTAGGCACACAAATTCGCATTTGATGTAATCTCATTATACTTCCTGATTTGTGACTGTGAACCTTCATTTCATAACTAGTATGTCTGTCCCACCTTTAAAAAGTTATTTGTTATGAAAGTAAGTATTTGTTAGAATTAAGTCTATTTAAATGAAAAGTACTTAGATAGAAGTCTGCATGGCCTCAGGAAAATGATGTTTTCAAATAGAGATTTTAGGCTGTCTGCACTCGGAAGGCTTTTTTATCATTGTTTTCTTAAGGCTTTTTTAACTGCATCAAAAATTCAGATACAAAACATCCATAAAAAATAATGTATCAAATCTTAATTTCCATTGAACTTGATTTAAATTCAGAATCATGCAGTGTAAATATCACAATCATATAAGTTCAAAAAGGTTTGAACAATTGATTTTCTGAAACCATGAAGGACTACAAATGCTTTTAATAAATCAATGTAATTAAAACATCTTTTAGAAATAAAGTTGTTTAGAAACAAATAGTAATTCATTAGAAAGTTAGATGAAGAATCAAAAATCAATCTTAGATAATTCAAAAGTTAATTATAAATTTTAAAATATGGTGACAGTCTATCTGTACTAATCTATGCAACTTTTCTATAAATCTAAAATTATTCCAAAATAACATTTATTTTTAAACCAAGATAAAATAATTGAGTAAAGTAAAAACAATCATGTTCTATTTAAGAATGCCAGATAAAGATAATGACAACTATGCAAAGATGATGATGATTATATGAAGATAAACAATTATTCATGCCTTCTACGTTAATAGGAAAACATCTATGAAAAATAAGGATAAATTAAAACAATTTATATTGACATAAAGGGCAGAAAACTTCAGTGATGCTAAGCAATTTACATTTATGATCAGTTGACAGAGAATAAATCATCAAATGAACAATTTGCACTAAAGTCATAATAGTGCAAATTGTCAATGGGAAGGTCAAGGAGCATTCTGTGTGGCCAGCACAGAATGCTCACTGGGGACAGTGTGCCTGGGGTTCAGTAATGGCTGCACCCAGTAAGTAGACCCAGAAAGCCCAAAGTAATGTCCAGGTGCATCTTCAGCATTTGTACAGTAGCCCCCGCAGCATCTGAAGTGTTAAGCTGCATGCTGCTGAGTAACATTTTGAAATCTTGCGCTGTTCCACTCCGTCCCAGGTCAGATGTGAAGCCTCCCTTTGTCCAGTATCTCCACAATGTCTACACTATCTGCCCGTTAGTCACTCATTAGCCATCTTGGTGATCAGATTGAAAAAACCTAGTGTATATAGGGTTTCAGGCATCCACAGAGGGGTTGGGGGGTTCTTGGAACATATGCCCAGTGGATGAAGGGGAATGTGTATATGCATTAATAGTTGTAAAAGCCACCAAGATATCATGGCCCTAAAAGCCCCCTCAGTGCCCACCAGCCTCCTCAGGCACCATCCAACACCAGAACCATAACCACAGCACTGGCAGGGGGTGGAAGACCCTCTGGGATTTCTGATTCCTCTCTATTAGTTTTGAAGATCCTAGCAACACCTTTTAGGCTTCCTTGGTCTTGTTCCTGTCAACATCAAGTCTGACCTCACAATTTCCAAGGGGCTTCCTTTTCCTGGTTACTAGTGCTGACATTTGAAGAAAGCATCATCTGATGCACTAGAAACATGCAATGGTTTTTCAGATTCAGTGTCCTAAAATAACTCTCTATTAAGGTAACCAGCGTCTCGCTCCCACACACATTCCACAGGCCAGCAGTTCTCAAGGTGTCCTCAGACCCAGGGTGTCGGAAACCAGGGCGGGGGCTCAGGAACCTGGTTTAACAGGCCCTCCAGGAGATTCTGGTGCTCACTCCAGTTTGGGAGCTCCCGTCAGAGCCTTGCAGCATAGAACTTAAAACCTGTGACCCGAAACCCCAAGCTAGAAACACCTGTTGCCTCAAGTGTAAGTGAACTTGAAACAGAGAAGAGCTTCAGGGTCACGCACAAAACTGTTCTTGTGTTTAAGCAGAGCATAGTCTGACTTTGCTACTTGGACTTTCTTACCTGGAGGGATATGAAGCCTGTATAATAGTTTAATTTTCTCATTCATTTCTCCATTATACATAATATCTGCAAAAATTTTAAGAAGAGAAGATGAGTTGATGCCAACGCTTAAAGTCCATATGTCAGGACACAAACTCACTGTGGAGAGAACACTCGGGAAGGTCAATACCTGCCACCCCCAACTGTCCTGCCCCAGACACATGCCATGGTAGCAACTAAAGTGATAAAGGCAAGGCTGGTAACTGTGTGAGCTCCAAGGAACTTTGTGAATGTTGTCTGGCCCCATACCTTCCAAAGCATTTTAATTTTATGGACAAAAGTTAGGAACATGGCTCCCATCAAGCCACCACCACACTGTGCCAAGGAAAGCAAGGTGAACAGCCTCGTATGTTGAGAGTGCAGCCCCTCTCCCAACCCCTTGAGAAAGTAATTCCTGAGAGGAGCCTGCAGAGTGATATTTCAAAATCATAAGTTCATGTCAAGCCAGTTGCAAAAGTGTTTCGCCATGTGCATTTGCCTGCTCCAAAGATCCACTGTCTTTTGTTCACAGACCCACACCCCCAAAGCAACTCACTGTGAAATCCCACAGAAGCATACCAAGGCAGCTCACAAACGCTTTGAATTCGATGAGTTGGTCCATGTTGTCATCCAGGAGCCTGAACGTCCTTTCAGCAAGGATCTCCGTGTGGGCCCCGCAGGTCCAGGGTGAGACTAGCTGAAACAGGTGTGTAAACTGCCGGACGTCTATGCGGTACTGCTCGGCATAGGGCCGGCTGGGGTCGTGTCGTAGGGCCACAGGCCTGGGCTGCTCCCAGTAACAGCTCATCATGTGTTCTCTCTTCAAACAAGAGGGGAAAGGGAGCTCTTACTGCTTACTGAATAAGCCATGTTGTAACACAAACAAAATATTAAATTACTCACAATCTCACCAATCTAACTGGATACATAAAGGGTTTCCTTTTTACCCTAATGTCCTTGCCCACATGAATATGTAATTTTGATGTTGGTTTCTTTTTGTTTTTGAGGTGGAGTTTTGCTCCTGTTGCCCAGGCTGGAGTGCAATGTCATGATCTCGGCTCACCGCAACCTCCACCTCCAGAGTTCAAGCAATTCTCCTCCTTCAGCCTCCCAAGGAGCTGGGATTACAGGCATGCGCCACCACACCTGAATAATTTTGTTTTTTAGTAGAAACAGGTTTTCTCCATGTTGGTCAGGCTGGTCTCAAACTCCCGACCTCAGGTGATCTGCCCACTTCAGCCTCCCAAAGTGCTGGGATGAGCCACTGTGCACCAAGCCTGGTTTCTTTTTTTATCAAGGGTTTTTTTTTTTTTTTCCTTACTGTGGTAAAATACACATAATGTAAAATGTACCATTTTAACTATTTTTAAATGTGCAGTTCAGTTGACATTGTTTTCATTACAGAAGACACACAATTTTTATTCTGATACTTTAACTTATAATTACATTTTTTTGGCCGGCGTGGTGGCTCACACCCGTAATACTAGCACTTTGAGAGGCTGAGGCGGGTAGATCACTTGAGCTCAGGAGTTGGTAACCAGCCTGGACAACACGGTAAAACCCTGTCTCTACTAAAAAATACAAAAAATTAGCTGGGTATGGCAGCGTGTACCTGTAAATCACAGCTACTCGGGAGGCTGAGGCACAAGAATCACTTGAATCCAGGAGGCGGAGGTTGCAGTGAGCCGAGATCACGCCATTGCACTCCACGCTAGGCAACAAAGCAAAATTTTCTTTTTTTTTTGAGACAGAGTCTCGCTCTGTCACCCAGGCTGGAGTGCAGTGGTGTGATCTCAGCTCACTGCAGCCTCCGCCTCCCAGGTTCAAGTGATTCTCATGCTTCAGTCTCTCAAATATCTAGGATTACAGGCACCTGCTACCACACCTGGCTGTTTATATTTTTAGTAGAGTTGAGGGTTTCACTGTGTTGGCCAGGCTGGTCTCAGACTCCTGACCTCAGGTAATCCACCTGCCGCGGCCTCCCAAAGTACTGGGATTACAGGCATAAGCCACCATGACTGGCCCAAAATCATATTATTTGAAAATCAAAAAGGACTAGCCAGATCTGTAGGATACAAAAGGAACTAATAATCCTGGCTACCTGTGGGGAGGGCCCCAGAGATGGAAGTTAAGACTTTATATTGCATATTTTTGTTACTTTCTGAATTTTGAACCACATGAGTATATTAACAATATTTTTAAATAAGGTTTTTTTAAAAAGGTGAGTTGAAGCCTTAGAAATAGACTGAAAACCAACTTAATCAAAACAGGCCCTAACGCTGAGGACAAGGAGAGCCACCCATCACTTCCACCCATACTACATGACTACATCATCTCTTTGGACATCCCAGTTTACAGAAGTCTAAACTGGTTCCAAATAACTGCAGGGTTCTTGACCATTTGTCCACAGGATGGGACAGAAACAAGGACAGGTGCTGTAGTCTGCAAGCTCATATCCTCAAACAGAGACCAATATGCCACTTATAATTTTACTGTCATATTCACTGTAGCCATGTTATTTAAATAGTCATTACAGAATCATGAAAATTACCACAGGAACTTTTAAGTGTGAAATAAAGGTCACATAAATTTCTGTTCCTTAAAATCCAGGGCAACCATGAATTTCTATGTAAATTCATATAGGCTGTCACATCAACAGCCCATAAAATGCAGAAGAAAATGGTTGTAATGCATAGGTCAAGGACGAATACTAGTTTACTAGAATCCCACAGAAAATAGAATCCCACTATAAAAATAGGCAAAGGATATGAGCAGGTGATTCAAAAAAGTAGACAACTAGCCAATAAAAATGAAATGGCACTCAACCTCATTAATGAGTAAACAAGTTCAGGTTAAAATGAAATGTCATTTTCTACCAGACTAGCAAAATTTATAAAAGATCCATGATATTAAATGCTGGGTGGGTGTGGAGTGTGGGGAATTGAGTACTCTTAGATACCATCAGTGGGATTGTAATTTTTTTTTTTTTTTTTTTTTTTTTTTGAGACAGAGCCTCACTCTTGTTGCTTGGGCTGGAGGGCAGTGCCATGATCTTGGCTCATTGCAACCTCTGCCTCCCAGGTTCAAGCGATTCTCCTCCCTCGGCCTTCCAAGTAGCTGGGATTACAGGTACGTGCCACCATGCCCAGCTAATTTTTGTATTTTTAGTAGAGACGGGGTTCTGCCATGTTGGCTAGGCTACTCTCAAACTCCTGACCGACCTCAAGTGATCCACCGGCATTGGCCTCCCAAAGTGCTGGGATTACAGGCATGAGCCACTGTGCCCAGCCAGAACTGTAATTTTAAAAAATAATAAATGCTTTAGCAGTATTGACTGAAGTTGGGTATATACATCCCCCATGACCCAACAGTTCCACCTCAAGGAACCCATTCTACAGAATCAGCAGGAAATGCACAGGTCCTCGGTGTCAGGCAGCAACAACCAGAAGCAACACAAATGTCACTCAAGAGGTGAATGATTAAACATATATGTTCATGATATATGGTCAACTGAAAAAAGAAAACTGCAGGTCATTAGGTATAGCACAGTCTCACTTCTATGTGAGAAAGGAAAGTGAGCGTGTGTGTATTTATTGTAGGCATCTGTGGATTTATAGGCAGATACAAGGGGGAAAATTCCAGAAAGATATGCAACATACTGTTAACTGTGATTACCTGTACAAGGGAGGGTAACAGGGGCACAGGATAGGACCCTTTCCTTTCTTTTTTTTTTTAATTATTTATTTATTTATTTTTATTTTTTGAGATGGCGTTTCACTGTCACCCAGGCTGGAATGCAGTGCCCATGATCTCGGCTAACTGCAACCTCCACCTTCCACTTTCAAGTGATTCTCCTACCTCAGACTCCCGAGTAGCTGTGACTACAGGCACACGCCACCATGCCCGGCTAATTTTTGTATTTTTCGTAGAGACAGGGTTTCACCATGTTGGCCAGGCTGGTCTCAAACTACTGACCTCAAGTGATCCGCCCACCCTGGCCTCCCAAAGTGCTGGGATTACAGGTGTGAGCCACCACATCCAGCCACAAACCTGAATTTATGTGATTTAAAGAATGGCTTTAAACTAACAATAAAAATAAATTTCCTCAAGTACCAACCAACATTGTTCGTCCTTCATAGGAAGGACAGAAACAAGAAACTTGCATGGTCGGCTCTGAAGGCCGTCTTTTATCTTTCCCATGAAACGTGAATGATGTGGCCGGTGCTTAACGAAATTTGTTTTTATTGTGAATTTAAAGCCATCATTTAAATTATATAAATTCAGACATGCTGCAGTTCCCACTCTCTGAACCTGAGAACAATTAGCCCTAAGTAAATGAAAGTCTTTTTAAGGTAAAAAGCACGACCAAAAACTCACATAATTTGTTTGCCTACTTTCATGTTCCTAGTAATCCCCGTTTTCCTTCCTTGAAAGCCAAAATGAGGCTGGGGTTGGGATACCAAGTAACCTTTGACTTCATATTTTGCCTTCACACAACAAAGGAAACAATAAAACTTGCAAACATGCTGTTTACAGGGAAAAGCAGCCTGCTAATTCTCCCCACCCATCCTGCTCATTAGGAATAAGGAGTGCAGGAACCTACTAACCCAACAACCCACGTCAGTGACTGCAGAGAAAGGCCTGCTCCACGGCTTCTGAAGCACAGGACTGTGCACTGTCATTTAGTCATACCGGTAACCTGAACTCAGGAGGGAAAGGGGCTTGGAGCCCCTACCAGGACGAGCTGGGGCGGCCATACTCCCTTCTCTGCGGCCTTGCTTTCTGCAACTGCGCTTCCTCCCCTTCTCTGCCAGGGTAGCAAGAGTCATCCAAAGTGCCTGCCTCTCTTCCTCATTTCCATTCACTATTTCAAGCAAGAAAGCTCTAGTAACATGCCTGAAGATGTTCTTTGCAGGGTGATTCCAGGTAAATATCCAAATATTAGAAATCTAGTTTACTATATTAAATATTAGCTATGTGACAGATTATAGAGTTATTAAAAATGATTAAGACTATATGGCAACATGGAAGAATGTTAATAACGGCATCAAGGAAAAAACAGAATACGAACTTACAAGCATATCTGCCACACAAATATGAAAAATATGCATGCATGTATTGCGGAGTGGGATCACAAGTAATTAAAAAGTATATCAGGTGATAATTTCAGTAAGGGTTGCTGTTTCATCTCCTGTGGAATAAGGACCCAGAGCTCGCACTCACTAGAGCAGCAGGGAGCAGAGCAGAGTAGATCACGGCACCAAAGCCCTCCCAGCAGAGTGCAGCAGCTTCAGTGGGAGGCCACACCTGCTGGGCTACCCAAGAAATACCCAGGCCCCCTCCTCCCATGTTCCAGGTGGGGAGAGAGGTTTCTGGGTAGAAGCGAGTAGGCAAGGCAAGACAGCTTCAAGGCGGGTAGCTCCGGCCTCTGCTCCACAGAGCCTGCACTGCATGCTGGCCCCTGGCAGGCTGGGCACCATGGCTCAGGCCAGCTCTGGGCCCGGAACCCCTCATCTTCCCAGAGCTGCGTACCTTGAATAAGTCATAGAGCTCCTCCAGGTCCTCAGGAAGAATTGAGACTTCCGGGATAACGACTCGAAGCTTGAGGAAAGAAGACACAGCAATGGCATGAAATCTAGGCCTGCACCCCTGGGGGTCAGGGCAGGAGGGGACTCTTCCTCCTTGAAGGGGACCCAAGGGGCCCATGCGCCAGCTTCCCTCCTGCAAAGGCTCTTTTCTGACAAAGATTACTTCCAGGTATCCTTCCTACGTGTTTCATCCTCAGCCTCTTTCCAGTCCACACATCAATGCCTAAGGACAAACCTACTGAGCTCTGGCCGGGTGTGGTGGCTCGCACCTCTAGTCCCAGCACTTTGGGAGGCCGAGGAGGACGGATCACCTGAGGTCAGGAGTTTGAGACCAGCCTGACCAACATGGAGAATCCCTCTCTACTAAAAATAAAAAATTAGCTGGGCATGGTGGTGCATGCCTGTAATCCCAGCTACTTGGGAAGCTGGGGCAAGAGAATTGCTTGAACCCGGGAGGTAGAGGTTGCAGTGGGCTGAGATCGCACCATTGCACTCCAACCTAGGCAACAAGAGCAAAACTCCATCTCAAAACAAAACAAAACGAAAACCTACTGAGCTCTAATGGAAGCCAGGAAGCTAGCAGAGAAACAGCGTGAGCAGGAGAAGCCTTCTGAGCACCAGCTAACGGCCCTGCAGGTCCCATACTAGGCATCACAGACCCCAACCTCATTTAACTATGTGGCAGGCACTGTTATCCCCACTTTACACAGGGGAAACAGGCTGTCAGTGGTGAGTACACTTACTACCTGGCTCCGAAGCCTATACTGTTTCTACACTACTTTGCCCCTATTATGTTGTTCATGTAATGCAAAAAATAATAATACATTGTTAAAAGCTGGCATTGTTATAACATGACCGAAAAGGACATGCACTCCCAGGCTGGCTCCCCAAAACCATGAGCACTGGCGTGAGGAGGCCGCTACCCACCACATTCTGCTTTGTGGTGTCCTCGTGGCCTTGAAGGACCCTGATTCTGTGCTTGTAGCGCAGGTGCTCGATCTGCTCCACAGACTGGTCTCCAAATTTCTGCAGGGAAACAAGGGGCCACTTGCTTAGTCCCCTGCTCATCCAAAGTGTGGAAACAGGAGGTGGCCCAGGAACTTCCCTCCACATCCATCTCCCAGTCACGTAAGATGGATGTGGAGGGACTGGGGGCTGCAATGGGGCATAGGGCAGGGGTTTCCATTACCTCATAGGAATCCCGGATCAGGTCCGCAATGTCAGTCACAGGGTAGGGCTCCTGGTCATCAGAGAAAAAGGTATGGTGGCTGCCAACTGGGGGCCCTGGGCTGTCCTCGTTCTTAATGTGATCTAGAAACCTGAACACACCGCCCCATCAACGCCCCAGTCCATTCTCATTTGAGTACCATACAACATGTGCTGCTGTCACAGTGTCAGACATGCCAAGGCATTTCCAAACACCAACACCGGGGAGGAGGGCAAGGCTGCAGCTACTCTGCTCATTTTTGAGAAGTGAGGGGCAGCTCAGCTTGTGGATCGGGCTGCATGGATGGCTTTCTGGGTCTGAAACTCTCCAGTGAAGTAAGCCCAACAATCTGTGCATACATACAAGGTTAAGCTTCCATCATACTCTGAAAGAGAACCCCCTCTTTCAATGTCATCTGGCTTGCCCTTGGCTCCTAGAAAGCCCAGCTCTAGTGCTCATCCTAGTGGACCTTTTCCCCACTGCTGCTCACCAGTCTTACACAGAAAATGTTTGCAAGCCTCCAGCTGGCTGCCTGACACCCGTGATGCCCGTTGTCTCCCAAGCCCTGTTCAAGGCCATGATGAGTCCATCTAAATGCAAGACATTTAATCTTCTTAAAGAAAAGCATTTATGGCCCTGCTCTTCCTGGACCCTCTCACTGTGGAAGGAGTGAGGGACAATGGCGCCCTCCACCCCATGCCTGGGACAGTGCCACATGGCGAACTGACTTGGAAAGGCACAGAGTGTCAAGAAGCAGAGTGGAAAAGAAAGCCTCGGCAGGGGCCAGGCGCAGTGGCTCATGCCTGTAATCCCAGCACTTTGGGAGGCTAACGTGGGTGGATCACTTTGAAAACAGCCTGGCGAACATGGCGAAACCTGGTCTGTACTACAGATACAAAAATTAGCCAAACATGGTGGTGGGTTCCTGTAGTCCCAGCTACTCAGAAGACTGAAGCAGGAGAATCACTTGAAGCTGGGAGGCAGAGGTTGCAGTGAGCAGAGACTGCACCACTGCACTCCAGCCTGGGTGACGAAGTGAGACTCTTTCAAAAAAAAAGAGAAAAGAAAACTTCCCCAGCAATGGCCCTGCTGGACATGTGCCACCGCCTCCTCCATCCCTGCCACAGAGGCATGGTGGGGCCCACCTGCTGAGGATCATCAAGGCCTGGCCATCATCCTTGCTGCTGCACAGGTCCTCCGCGTTGGCCTCAAGCACAGCCAGTCCCAGCTGGAAGATGGCTTTGATGCCGTCGTAGAAGAAGCAATCTACCACATTCACCGCACTCTCTAGAGGCATGATGCTGAGGAATAGGGTCAGGAACCAAGACAGAGAGACGGATGCCAGGGCTGAGAGGTCATTCATGTGCTCCGCCAGCTCCGGGAGGTGACCCTTGATGAGCTCCTCGAAGACAGACTGGTCCACTTGCGCCCCTGGAAAAGAAGGCCACAGGGCTATGGCTGGGGTGGGACTCACTCTCTAAGGACAGTCTGAAATTAAAATCACTCTGAGATAACCAGAACAAGGAGACAGAATTTCAGTACAGAAAAGTACCCATGCTTAACTCACTGATTCTGATATTTTGACCAAGGTAATTTAAAGGGTAAAAGATAGCCATTAAAAAAAAAAAAAAAAAATACTGCTTGATCAGCTGGAAACCGGCATGGGAGAAATAAAAAAGGAATGCTAGCCCCTACCTCAAACCATATAAGAAAATATATCTGAGACACTTCCGGCGCGGAAAATGGCAGCCGCCATTGTGGACTCACGTGTGAGTGCAGAGGACAATCTGAAAAAGACCCCAAAGAAGATGATGAAAATGGCAACCGGAGCCGTAGCGTCGGCGCTGGAAGAGGAGGGCACAGACACTTCCGATAGCGAAGGTTCTACAGTAGGAGGATCTATAATAGGAAGCTGTGGATCAAAATATGACTACTTTCATTCTGATGAGGAAGCAATAGAAGCTGACAATGAGGGTGATGCTGAGCCCTGTGACGAAGAAAATGAAGATGACGCAGAATCAAATATTGGGACCAATACGGGCTGGGCAGATGCCATGGCTAAAGTCCTCAACAAGAGAACTCCTGAAAGTAAACCTTCTATTCTGGTCAAAAATAAGAAGCTGGAAAAGGAAAAAGAAAAGTTAAAGCAAGAAAGACAAGAGAAAATAAAACAGCGTGATAAGAGGATGGAGTGGGAAATGATGTGCAGAGTAAAGCCAGATGTTGTCCAAGACAAGGAGACAGAGAGAAATCTGCAGAGAATTGCAACGAGGGGTGTGGTGCAATTATTTAATGCTGTTCAGAAACATCAAAAGAACGTTGATGAGAAGGTTAAAGAAGCTGGAAGCTCTATTAGAAAGCGAACTAAGTTGATATCAACTGTTTCCAAGAAAGATTTTATCAGTGTTTTGAGAGGAATGGATGAAAGTACAAATGAGACTACCTCAAGCAAGAAGAAACCAAAAGTCAAACAGACTGAAGTGAAATCAGAAGAGGGACCAGGTTGGACGATCCTACGTGATGATTTCATGATGGGAGCATCTATGAAAGACTGGGACAAGGAAAGTGATGGGCGAGATGACAGCAGACCAGAATCTGCAAGTGACTCTGATACATAAAGCACCATAGGAAATAAAATCATCATTTTATTTTTTCTAGAAAAATATTTCATCCCCTGATAATTGGGGAATTATAAGGATACCCAAAGTCAAAAGACTTTTGCCTGATTTAATATTTCCCCTTTTCATGTACACTTTATATATACTTTATTAAAATTATATTTTAAACACTGGTATAATTTTAAGCATTGTTCCTCAGAACATTTGTAAAAAGGAAATATTGCTGCTTGACCAGTGAGATAAGCATTTTGCCAGGATCATATTGGTCCTGTCTATTGGTGTGTTATTTCAGTATCACCAATGTTTTCAGAAATACAGTACCAATTCATAATTAAACTCTTTCAAGTTAAAAAAAAAAAAAAAAGAAAAAGAAAATATATCTGAAATAGACCATAAACCTAAATATAAAAGTTAGTACTATAAAACTTTTAGAAGAAAATTTAAGAAAAATACAACATTTCTTAGTACATAAAAAGTACTAACCATAGAAAAAACTGTAAACTGAACTTCATCAACATGAAAACTGCTGTTCTCCAAAAGGCACCATTAATAAAATGAAAATGCAAGCTTCAAACTTGGAGAAAATATTTGCAATCCATATGCCTGACAGAGGTCTTATATTCAAAAGAGAGAACTCTAACGACTTAGTAAGAAGGTAACAATCAACCTTTTTTAAAGAGGCTAAAAATCTACACACTCAAAAGTCAATAAACAAATGGTCAGTAAGCGAAGAGACATCTGTTCAACATCATTAATCATCAGATAAGTGCAAATTAAAACCACCATAGTTATACCACTTTTACCCACTAGATGCCTAAAATTAAAAAGACGGACAATACCAAGTGTTAGTAAGGATGTGGAGCAAGCTGAACTCTGCTTCACTGCTGTTATGAGACAAATGAACATGCTACATCCACTCTGGAACACTACGGGTTTCTTATTAAGTCATATATCTAACCTATGACCCTGCAATTCTTCTCCTAGGTAAATACCCAGGGAAAATGACAGCATATATTCACAGAAAGATTTACATGACTACTCACTGCCACTTTCTGTATCATATCCCAAGACTGGAAACCAGTCAAATGCACATCAACAGGTGACTGGACAAGCATACCTTGTTCTGAGCGCACAGTGAAATCCTACTCAGCAACAAAGAGAAGCTAGCTCTACCGATGCACCAACAATGTGGCTGCCTCTCACAGACGCTCTGCTGCATGATGGACACCAGACACATAAGACCCTGTCCTCCATAATTATATCCATACAAGGTTCAAGAGTAGGCCGAATTAATCCCTGGTGATAGAAATCAATACCGGGTGTTGCCTATGGCAGGGAAGGGGCAGAAGAGAACTTTCTGGGGTGATGCAAGAGTTCCAAAGGTCCCCTCCTGTCCTGGGGCGGTGTCCACACAGGCATATGCACTCTCACAGAGAGTCCACGTGGCACTGTTGCATATGAGCTGTCACATAGCAACAATCATCAATGATGGCTTTGACAGCATGTCTCTCAAATACGCTGAGGTTCTAATTACTCCTTGCTACTCTTTTCCTTACACTGCTTCCCACGACACAAAGTAAAAAGGGAAGCAGGCCAGCTAGCCACTCAGGCACACAAAGGAGCCAGTGAGCATGATCAAAGGCTCAGGGAAGGGCACACCCGGGGCCAGAAGGCACAGAGCCATCACAGCCTTCCCAGATGACCACACCAACCACCTGCTCCTCCTTATCCCTAGGGGCCACCCTTCAGTCCTTAGGACACTGCCTTCAAAGGCACCTTCTCCCCACCTTGCTTCTACATCCACTCACGTGTTACATTCTATCTGAAGTTGGTTCTGTTCCCAGGGCTGCCACTCTAATTTTAGGCCAGCTCCATCTCTTATCTGAATTACTAAGAAGGGTGCTTAACAGTATCACCAGCCCAAAACCATTTTTGTACTGTTTTCTCTACTAGGAGGTTGCTGGACCACAGAGACAGCACACATTCAAATCTCAACCACATGAAAGACAGAGGTACCCAGTGCAGGAGTTCTGCAGGGCCACAGGTTTATCTAGAGTCCAGACAGCAGCAAACGGGCTTTCATAGGATGTCTTTATGGAAGTGAAAGGCTTTTCCAAGTCTGCCCTTTGACCACATGGGCGTCAAGGGTCTCTAGTTCTGTCCCACCTACCTACCTCCTCTCTCTAGGGCAGGTGTTCCCAAACTACGGCCCGCAGGCCACATGCGGCCCCCTGAGGCCATTTATCCAGCCCCCCCGCCGCACTTCAGGAAGGGGCACCTCTTTCATTGGTGGTCAGTGAGAAGAGCACAGTATGTGGCGGCCCTCCAACGGTCTGAGGGACAGTGAACTAGCCCCCTGTGTAAAAAGTTTGGGGACGCCTGCTCTAGGGGAACCAAGGAGCTCCTGTCTGAACAACCTCTTTGGGCTACCAAGAGGCATCTCCCCAAACCCCCATCCTCCCTTTCCAAGACATGGCATCCTTGCAAAACCACCCTGGTTTTCAATTTCTGACTTGTTTCCTGGGCCTTGGATCTTCCTTCCCTTCTTGTGAGTTCAGCTATCCATCTGAAGTCATGTATTTGTTTTAATCCCAACTCTGTAGGGTCTTTGTAGCAGGAACATATCTGAGTTTCTTTATTCCATCACATTGTCAGAACTGTGCAGAGAACTTCATGAGTTAGTCTTGCAAATTCAGGAGTCAAACTGTGTTTGCAAACAGACTAGCTGAGTGGTACTGAGGGATTTTATAAACAGGACTGATAAGAAACATCCTGCCCAGGCTCTGTCACTGTTCCCCAAATACACAGGAGAAGGAAGGGAGTCTGTTTACCGATCACTCGGTGGTTGAAGTAATCAGGCAGCATCCGCTCACACACGGCAACCAGCAGCCAGAAGGCTTCCTCCTCCTTGGCATACAGCAGCAGCACAGAGGTCAGGATGTTCATGGACTGCTCAGGAGTCAAGGAGGACAGTTACTGACCAGCCCATGTGATGCCACAGAGACGGTACAAGCATCCAAGCTCAAACAACCCACAAAAGTAAAGATTTTGTAGGTAAGAGATCCAGCGTAAACCAACCGTGATATCAACATGGTCCTCACAGGACACGCCCAGCTGAGCAATCAGCCACCACTCAGCTCCCGTCCCCATTTAGCAATATGGAATTTAGCTGTGGTAGAAGTCTTAGGGTTGGTTCAAATCCAGCTATTCTCCATTTGTTCAAACAAACACGCACGCACGCACACACACACACACACACAAATTCACTCACTGACTGCTTATTCACAGGAAAATAAAGTTTGAAATCTTAAATTTTTAAATATCAGGAGCTTCACTAATCGCAGCTCGTGCTAGGTTTAGTTGCTGCTTTAATGGACTGATTTTCCTATTTTACCTGCTGACCACAGCCTCAGCTCGGGAAAGCTCAGCAGACATCTCACCTCCACCCCTGTGCCCTAAAGGAAGGGGATTGGCCCTGATCATCTTCTTTCTCCCCAGATAGCACTGGCATTTTAAATAATTCCTGTAACTTATGCAGAGGTCTAGAAATTCTATTAATGCCCTCCTACGTCTGAGCTCAAGAGGAGTGTTGAAGACTGAATCTGCCCTGCTGCCAACAACCACTACACATGCATGTTTCTCTTTTCAGGCATTCAGTCTGTTTTTAAATCTCAAATTTTCAGCCTGTTTGATTATATGAAGATGAGTCCCTTTGACCCTAATTTGATACATTCTTTTCGGAAAGGAACCAAGTATGGCGCCTTCACACAGCAATACTCAGGACTGGATGACCGGGAATGGAACCGAAACCCCGGGAAGGTCAACGTGAGGCACCAACTAAAGACTCTGTGCCCCAGAGCACACCCTTTCACCTGGCAGTATCCAATCCTGGGGTTCCGGTGGGCATAGGCCGTCAAGACTCTCCTCAAAGCAGCGATTCCTGTTTCATTCTGGAAGGCAGGGTGTTCTGGCAGGGAGCGGTGCAGGTCTCGCTCTATCTCCTCAGTTACCAGGCAGCACTTCCCCAGGGACTCCTCCACCAGATTCCCGTAGTATCCAGGGTGCGAAGCAAGATCTGTCACAGCATCTGAGTTTTAAAAGCAATGTTTCAAGGGGGAAGGATTACTAGGATGGTGTCACCATGAAGAGAACGCTTGTCCCACCAGGGGACCCCAGTAGGGTCTTAACTACTCACTGAGGGGCAAAATATTGGCGAGGCGTGGTGGCTCACGCCTGTAATCCCAGCACTTTGGGAGGCCAAGGTGGACAGATCACTTAAGGTCAGGAGTTTGAGACCAGCCTGGCCAACATGGTAAAATTCCATCTCTACTAAAATACAAAAATTAGCCAGGTGTGGTGGCGGGTGCCTGTAATCCCTGTAAGGATGCTAAGACACAAAAATCCTTTGAACCCAGGAGGCAAGAGGTTGCAGTGAGCCAAGATCATGCCATTGTACTCCAGCCTGGGTGACAGAGTAAGGACTTCATTTCTACCATGAAATGGTAGTCCAAAAAACAGAAATAAAAGAAATAGCATGGCCTTTTTTTTTTTTTTTTTTTTGAGATGGAGTCTTGCTCTGTTGCCAAACTGGAGCGCAGTGGCACAATCCCAGCTCACTACAAACCTCCGCCTCCTGGGTTCAAGCAATTCTCCTGCCTCAGCTTCCGGAGTAGCTGGGACTACAGGTGTGCACCACCACGCCCAGCTAATTTTTGTATTTTTTAGTAGAAACAGGGTTTCACCATGTTGGCCAGGATGGTCTTGATCTCTGACCTTGTGATCCGCCTGCCTCAGCCTCCCAAAGTGCTGGGATTACAGGCATGAGCCACCGCGCCCAGCCAATAGCATGGCTTTTGTAAGAATAACCTTATAGAGTGAAGGGGAGGAAGCTCATAATACAAATAAATGTACTAATATGCTTTTAACACATTGTATTCCCTAGTAGCAAGAGTGTGCAAGCACATACACAAACACACACACAAATTTCCTGCATTAATTCAACAAGAAATGACACTGAGCACCAATGCATGAGGCACACGAGAGGGCGTGACTATGATAGAGTGAAAGGGCCAGCAGAACGGCGCCCACATGAAACTCTGAAGTCAGGTCTGAGATGTACAAACTGCAGCAGAAGGACCCAGCACAGAAAACTCCTGCGCCAGCCACGCACAGCCAGAGCTACTGCCCAGGCCTCTAGTGGGCAGGCAAGATGGAGGGATGAATGAGCCCCTTATGAAAAGTCTGCGCACACGTGTGTGGGTGTGTGCATGTGTGTTTATGTTAAAAAGACCTAGAGGAATGCATACCTTGGGCAGTGACAGGCCTCACCTTTAGGTGGTAGGATTCTAAAGAAGGTCACTGTCTTTGCTCACTCCTCCATGCCCTTATTTTTCAACTAGGAATATGTGTTGCTATTTCTATATACAAAAATGCAGAAGACATTTTTCATTTTTAAAAGGAGATGTTTCAATGCTGCGCCTCTGGAAGGCAGCTGCAGAAGCCAGGAGGCAGGAGAGAGATGAGGTGTGCAGTGGCGCGGGCAGCATCAGTGACCAGTGACCACACCCAGTGCAGTGAAGCATGAGGGCTGTGTCTGGGTGTCTTGCGCAGGAGGTCAGGGGATGGAGGGAGATGTGGAAGAGGAAAGTGAGGGACAAAGTTGGGGGTAGATAAGGAACCAGCAAGAAGCTGATGGTGAAGTAGGACAAGGGATGCTTTCAGTCCCAGGAAGAGTGAGGGAGGCCTCCAGGCGCCTCCCTGCTGACAAGAGCCACAGGGTCTTCTGGGGAAGGGACCCTCTCACCTGGCCTCCCATGGCACCCAGAGAAGCAGCAAAGGCACACTCTCCAGTGGCAGGGCCTTCCCTTCCTGCCCTTGGGCCCCAGCTCCTTTGCCCCAAGGCGTAAATCCCTCACAGTTGATATGGAAGGACAGACAAATGTCTACCCAGCATGTCCCTGAGGAAGTTTGGTCCCAGGTTCAGCCTATCCATCATTAAATGTCCTGATGCAGGTTCCCAGGCATTCCACAATAGGTGCAGGGAGAGGCCCCATGGCTTTGAGGCCAAGCCAGACCCTCCCTGAATGGGTCCAGCAGAAAAGAGGAAATGGAACAGAAGGGAAATCCACAGTTTTGCCTCTGATGCCTGCCACGTGTCTTCGCTGGAGGAGCTACATGGAGTGTACTATGGCAGCTACACTCTGAGGGATGTGTTTCAACAGCCCAGCCAATTGACAATAGATGAGGACTTTTGGTTTTATCCATTTCAGAGTTCATACATTATAGACACTTCACTTCCACGGGGTTCTGAATTGAATCCTCAGCACTATATAGAGACTCGTGAAGGCATTTGTAAAGGAATGGTCGTCACTGTACTCAGACCTCACATTTACCCAGTTGGACACGGCGGCAACCTGACCTAGGTCCCACAGCTGACACAACAAGGGGTCTAAGTCCTTGGCTGGGAATTCACAGAAATGACCCAAAGACAGAACCATTTCATCTGTGCATAAACACATGTGCTGTTCAGGTCCGGGCTGTTCCTGTGTCCATGACAAAAAGAAGAACTAGCTTAGAGATACCAAGAGCGCTTACCTGAGAAGAGAAGCCAGAGTCTCCCACGTAAAGACTCAGGGATGCCCATGGCTACAAGCTTCCGAATCTTCTCTGTGCGAAACATACACACAGTTCTGCCATATTCCACGAAGTGGTCATTCCACAGGCTTATTTTTATCTGTTCTCTGGACTGGAAATGGGAATATTCTTAATGTACAAAGAATTCCATCCTCACCACCCCCTGCCCACCGATGCACCACTGGTGATGGGGGAAGTACTGCCTCTGCTCACTGAGGGGCCAACAGCAACAGGCAAGGACACCCGTATTCAAGCTGCAAATATTTCTGAACCTCTACCAGGGGACACAGAGGATACAAAGATGAATAACACTGAGTACGGCCCTGCATGAGCTTAGAGACCAGTGGGTGCATTTATACAAACAAAATGCAGTTTCCTTAGCAAGGCTGGTAATAAGGATATGTAAATCCAAGTACTAAAGTAGCCCAAATCAGATGGGAGGGTGGGTTGGGCAAGGGGGACGCTGGAGGAAGCTTTCTCAGGATGTTGTATCTGCCGAAAAAAACACTGGTCAGCTCAGAGGGCAAAGGGGACAATTTCCCCTGAGCTTCCTCATAGCCAGAGGGAAAACTGAAACCTGAAAAAAATTACATTTTATATATATATTTAACATTCTCATGTTTCATCAACAAAAGTTAATGAAGGATCCGAGTGTAAAGCCCATGAGAAGGCTCAGTTTTGAATAAATAAAACCAACAACAGATTTTACCAGAGCCATTAAGCAACCAAAAATAAGCTTGGGGTAACAGGTTCACAGCCACTGCCTGGTGCTCATGGTCCAGCGCAGCACCCTGCCTGCCGTGGCCCCATTTCAAAGCACAACTTCCAGTATCTTTACCAGACTATACGTGACATGTCCCTCAAGTTCTCCCTACAAAGAGGAAATCTGTAAGTAAATACAGCAAAAATATTGCCAGTTTAGTAACACTAGAAGACTGGTGACCCCTTCTCCCAGAAGACCAAAAAAAAAAAAAAAGTAAGCTGTAATGAGGGGCACACAGACAGCACTGGCTTGAAGGACAGGGACCCATTCTGTGCCTAGAGACCCCTAAGGGACAGCACGGCCAGCTCTCCAGGCCCCAAAACCGAGAGGTGCTCGAGGACCACAAAGGGCAGGTGGGAGAGCAGCCCCTCAGTCCTCTGACCCCCTCAGTGGACGCCTCTCACTTTTCACCCATGAGAACAAGAGGGAAGAGGAGCATTAGCTTCCCAAGGCCAGGTGCCATGTTCCATGGTGGGTCAGACAGCTGGGCATGCTCATGCCCATGGCACAGTTCTGCGGTCCAGCTTGAGCACCAGGCATCACCCACCATTCGGGAGTCAGGGCTCTGGCTGCCTGACTGCTGGAAGGCGGTGAAGAGGGCGTCAGGGTGCAGCAACGGGCTCTTCTTTTTTTCACTCTCCTCGCTATTTTGAGAAGATACCATTTCAAGATCCCCAAACCTGTGGTCACTGCACATGCTTGTTGAATGAAACACTGGTGAAGCCTGCACAGCAAGAGAGGTAGAGAGACGGCGAGACAGAGACAGACAGAAAGAGAGAAAGAGAGAGAGAGAGTCATGGCTTTAGTGAAGGAGACCGTCTTTGTTTTGCCTTTGGCATAGCAGACTTCAATGACTCAGGGGGAAGACAGACTGACACCAGACCTGACAGGGTTCCTAGGAAGATACGGTCCCTCTCCCTGCTCTGGGGAAGGCTGTCCTGGCCCCGAGAGCCCGGGGCCACACACAGTTCCTCATGGGCATCCCCAGACCCCTTAGCTTCTGGACAGGAGGATGGCCATCCCGAGAAAAGAGCCCTGGGGTAGATAGAGGCTGCACCTCCTTTTCTCCCCATCACTACTTTGGGTGAAAAGAGGTTGAGAATGAGAAGAGACGTGAAGAAAGGAGAGCAGGCAGCAGCCACTGTGGGGCTACCTCCGCAGCTGCCCAACCTCAGGGCCCATGAAGCTCCTCTTTCAGCAGGTTACACAGTGCCTCCAATAAGGCCATCCTCGACCCTCAGGAGCAGGAATAGCAACGCTTCTCACCTGTGAGGGGTGTCCCTGCTACCCTCTCCAAGCTGTGGGATGGTTGGCTCGCCATCCCCACCCCCGCTACTCTGTGTCACACCCTCTCAGGACACCCAGCACATGAGAAATGACAGCAGACCACACACAGGCCCCACATTCTTCTCGTCCCCACGTGAGTCTCCTCCTGTGCACTCCCCTTTGGAGACCACAGCCCAGTACGTGAAGAAGGGGATCATCAGGGTCTGGAAGGACTGTACCATGTCATCATCCGCAGAGGTATTGTAGTGCACAGGGTGGTTAGCATGGACCTGCTTCAGCCTCACGAGCAGCGCCTCCACCAAGCTGTCCCGGTCCCGGAGCTCGATGAACTGGAAGGCCACCTTGCTTCTGATGCTGACGATGATGGGGTGCGGCAGCAGGCTCGTGTCCTCCATCTTCTCAATGCTCACCACCTGCGCAAGAGGTGACATGCAAGGACAGCAGGGAGGGAGGAAGGCAGACATTGTATTACATATGCAGAATGTCCTGAAACAGAGTGCAAAGCACAATGACTGCAGAAAGGGCATGATGCAAAGGCGAGAAAGTATGCATGGTGGCACTGCTCTCCACCGCCACGAGGGGAGGCTGTGCAAGGCTGCATCAAGGGATGACTGGGTAACAAAGTGTGGTCTATCCATACCACAGAGTATGACCCAGCCTTGAAGAGGAAGGGGATTTGGAGAGAGGCTACAGCAGGGACGAGCCCCAAGCGCATATGCTAAGTGAACAAGACCAGTCACAAATATTGAGGTACATGAGGTACTTGGAGGAGTGAAATTCAGAGAGATGGGAAGTAGAAGGACAGTCTCTAGGCGCTGGGGGAGGGGGAGAGGGGAGTCATTTCATGGGGACAGTGTTTCTGTTGGCAGTCATGAAAAAGTTCTGGAGATGGACGGTGCTCATGGCTGCACAAAAATGTGAATGTACTTAATACCACTGAATCATACAATGGTTACAATGATCATTTCTGGTTAGGTACACATAGCCAAAAAAATATTTTAGGCATGTAAGTTAGCTCCTCGATTTCTTGATCCACTAATAAATAAAAATATTTGTAAAATGAAGATATCTACTACAGAATAATAACAGGGAGGCAGGAGACCACATGTTTATCCCAGCATTGTGAGAGGCCAAGGTGAGAGAATTGACTGAGCCCAGGAGTTCAAGACCAGCCTGTGCAAAGCAGTGAGACCCTCCTCTCTAAAAAAAAAAAAAGAAGAAGAAGAAGAAGAAGAAGAAGAAAAATTAGATTTTTGAGTTTTTCCAAAGAGGAATATTCAGTGGATTCAGAAGAAAGTCTCTGGAGGTCTTGATGTGTAAACAGAGATTGTGCATACCATCTCACCAGAGCTGCTGCTCTGAAGCCAAAGGACTGAGCTGCTCAGATCTGGAAGAAATCTGAGCCCCATTTCCAAGAAGAGAATTGCAGAATTTTACAGGAAGAAGGGACCTGATCCCTGTCAAAGGAAGCACTTTAAAATTTCAACTAAAGTTCTAGGAGACTATAAAAGCCAAGTAATTTACTATTTATTTTTAAAAGGTGATGCTTTTGGTAGGTTGCTTTTTTTGCTTTTCTTTTTTTTTTTTTTTTTTTTTTTTTTTTGGTGAGTGAAATGGGAGGATTCATTCCTAAGAGCTGCTGGAAAAATCTGTAATTGCTAGGCATGTACTTTTTAATAACAGCTTTATCAATAATGTGGACGTTAGAGTCCCCTGTTTTCAACAACCACTTGTTGGCAAATTTCAGGATGCCAGAGCAACCGCAGAAAAAGCAATGGCCAAATGGGTAATGGTCCAATTCAGGCCATGCCTCCCTCAAGAAGCGCAGCCTTGTAGTCATCCGTCTTTAGATGGCAAAGCTGTCCCATCTGAACTTCCCTTCCCACACTGCATCTCACAGCCAGCAACCTTGGTTTCAAACAACAAAAGGCTGCTTTAGGAAGCACACAGCAGGGCTGGTCTACCTCTCTGAGTGGCAGGACCACCTTACAGCAGCCATCTTCTCTGCTGGCAAAGCAGATGTAGCTGTCAGAGGTGAACATCCGCCCCGCAGTATGACAGCGACTGAATGGCGTCCAGAGCGAGCAGTCCACAACCGCATGCAGCTTCTCCTTCCTGGGCAACCTGAAGAAAGCCCGGAAGAACTCATTCTGTGCTCTGGCTTCCAGGTCCCTGGGGAAGGACGAAGAAAGAAGAAGAAAAGATGGGAAAGGTGAATGGAGACCCAAGATTACAAAGGAAAATACTTTTACTTTTTTATTTCATTTTATTTTTGAGATGGAGTCTTGCTCTGTCACCCAGGCTGGAGTGCAGTGGCAAAATCTCAGCTCACCGCAACGTCCACCTCCCAGGTACAAGCGGTTGTCCTGCCTCAGCCTCCCGAGTAGCTGGGATTACAGACATGTGCCACCATGCCCTGCTAATTTTTGCATTTATAATAGAGATGGGATTTTGCTATATTGCCCACGCTGGTCTTAAACTCCTGACCTCAGGTGATTCACCTGCCTCGGCCTCCCAAAGTGCTGGGATTACAGGCGTGAGCCACTGTGCCCAGCCAAGAAAATACTTTTAAAGCCACTGGCACAATCTGTATTTAAGTGAGGACAAAAAGGTACCATGCACGTCCTGTGCTGGTGCACCTGGGCCACATTCTAACTGCAGGCCGACCTTCAGAACAAGGAGGCAGGACAGACGTGCTGCCTCTGAACAAGAGTGATGTAATAAACTCACAGGCCAAATAAGCATTCCTTCCCAGTTTGAGTAACACAGAATTACCAGAAAAACAATTGCTTAAGAAGCCAAGTTTCAAAAAGTTTGCTAACAAATGGTGAGGAGGATGTGGGGACCCTACTGCACTGCTGGAGGGAATTAACAGTGTGGTCATGTTGGAAAACAGTCCGGAAGCTCCACAAAAGACTAAGCGTAGACTTAACACTTGACCAAGAAATTCCACTCCTAGGTAGATATACCCACGAGAATTGAAAACATATGTCTGGCACATGAATGTTCTTAGCAGCATTATTTATGATAACCAAAAGGTAGAAATAACCCAAATGTCCACTGACTCACAAATGGATAAACAAAAGGTAGTGTATCCAAACAATCAAATATTGTTCAGCCAGAAAAAAGGAATGATGTATTGTTATGTGCTACAGCAGAGATGAACCTTGAAAACATAATACTGAGTGAAATAAACCAGACACAAAAAGACAACATACTGCCTGATTCCATTTGTATGAAATATCCAGAATAAGCAAATCTCTAGAAACAGAAAATAGATTAGTGATTGCTCAGGGTTTGGGGGAAGAGAGAAATGGGAAGTAACTGCTCATGGGTACAGGGTTTCTTTTTGGGATGATGAAATGTTCTAAAATTGATTGTGGTGATGGTTGCACAACTCTGTGAATATGGTAAAAACCACTGAATGGTACACTTCTAAAGAGCATATAATAATTACATGGTATGTAAATTAAATCTCAAAAAAAAATTAAAAAATTTAATGTGGCTGAGCATGGTGGCGCATGCCTGTAATCTCAGCACTTTGGGAGGTCCAAGGGAGGCAGATTGTTTGAGCTCAGGAGTTTGAGACCAGCCTGGACAACATGGCAAAACCCTGTCTCTACAAAACAAAAACAAAAAACCACAAACATTAGCTGGGTGTGGTGGTTTGCACCTATAGTCCAAGCTACTGCAGAGGCTGAGATGAAAGGATCACTTGAGCCCAGGAGGTAGAGGCTGCAGTGAGCCAAGATTGCACCACTGCACTGTAGCCTGGGCGATAGAGTTAAAATCCTGTCTCAAAAAAAAAAAAAAAAAACAGTTTAGATATGTGTCTGACAGACAGTAAGTAATCAATAAACGTTATTATTATCTCTTTTAAAACAATTTTTTTTAAGAATCTCAGGTCAGGTGCGGTGGCTTACACATCACATCAGTATTGACAAGAGAGAATGCTGATAAGGAGGAAAGAAGGATCCTAACCCCCAGGCAACCCCACATATCCTGATTTTTGGTTCTAAACCCAGTAAAGAAAGCAGCCAAATCAAAATGTTTGAAAATATTGATCAATTTATGTCATACTCCAAAATTCTAGTGGGGGGAAATTCCAACATACAGAGGGAAAGATTTTTCTCTGGCATTTTAAATAAGAGTTCTTTATAAAATAAGGATGAAATTAACACTTTCCCAAAGTCAGCGATATGAATTCTTGGCTTTCTTACCTACTCTGTAACCCTGAATGAGACTCTCTGTATCCCATTTTGATTGCTACAAAATGGAAACAATGTCTGAATTTTCTGCTTCAAGGTATCCCTGTGAATCTAAAATGATGCCCACAATATGGTAAAAGAGAAATTAGATTAGGCATAGCACCTACAGTATGATTCCTACAGTATGTTCTGGTATCCAAGGCAACTAAACCATTTTGTTCTACCCAGTGCACCTGCTGCCTCAGTTCAATTCCTTAAAATTTCCAGACAGGGATGTCTACAAGGACTTTATCTTAAGTGTTGATAGTGATTGTCTTTGCATAAGTGGGACTTGCACTTCGCAATTTTATTTTGCTTACATTTTTTACATGACTACATACTAGCTTAACAAAAAAAGCTATTTTCTTTAGAGCAAAGTGCAACTTTTAAAATGTTACATAAATGCCATAAATGCAAGAAAGTAAACTCTCAACTCTGGAATCAACTGCACACAGCTCAATTGAGCTTTTCAGATATGATTTGGTTGTGAGGCCCCTGAGATACGACCTCACCTCAACCAGGCCAGACTAGGCTCCCAAACACACACCTTTTCTGCAATCCCTTCTAAGTCTCATGTCCACCATCATACAATTGACTTACAAGCGGCAGCCATCATACAGAGATGGCACAATCTATAGAATTTACCATCAAGCCCTCAAAAAGAGGAGACACACACATGCCCAGAAAGTTCTCTGGAGACCAAGTTCTACAGATCACAATGTGTTCAGTTCCTGGGGGCCAAAGCTGCACTTCCTTAAATACCTGATACAACGTTGGCTACTGTTTACAAGGATGAATGAACTTCCTCCTCAGAGGAGCTGGCAGGACACAGGAAAAGCACCATAACCATTCTCCCAGTTCATGCGCAGCAAGAATGGAAAGCAAGGCCCCTCAAGAGGACCCCAAGTTCCCCAAGCTGACTATGTCCAATGCATTTAAATTGGAAAACTTCCATCCTTGTCCTCGGAGCATGCTGGCCATGCTGGCTTTGATGAAAGTAAAATCAACCCTTACTCCCTGCGCTTATCTTATAAACGTGGTTCTAGTTGCTAGTGAGTTCACCTGTCAGCCTTCCTTCCTAGCTGGGCGTCTTCTTCACCTTAAGTCATGGCTGATGTCAAACTGAATACATGGTGAGTATTTAAATCACAGAAGCTTGCACTGAGCCACCAGAAAGGTGGGAGGACTTATATTTACATTTATTTTGCCCCGAATCCCTTCAATTAAGAATAAGGTGTTCCAGGCAGGGCATGGTGGCTCACACTTGTAATCCCAGCACTTTGGGAGGCTGAGGTAGGCAGATTACCTGAGGTCAGAAGTTCAAGACCAGCCTGGCCAATATGGAGAAACCCTGTCTCTACTAAAAATACAAAAATTAGCTGGGCATGGTGGCACATGCCTGTAATCCCAGCTACTCGGGAGGCTGAGGCAGGAGGATCACTTGAACCAAGGAGGCAGAGGTTGCAGTGAGCCAAGATTGCGCCATTGCACTCCAGCCTGGGTGACGAGAGTGAAACTCCATCTCAAGAAAAAAAGAAAAAAGAATAAAGTGTTCTGGTATCGGAGGCAGCTAAACCATTTTGTTCCACCCAGTGCACCTGCTGCCTCAGTTCAATCAGCTTCTCTTCTCTGTGGCTTCAGAGCAGCCTGGGAACGCTGTGCACAGTCTCCATTCCCCTTTCAGGGCTGTCCTCGCTTTCTCTGTAGACATCTGTGTTTTGCACATTTGGGTAGCCAGAGACCAGAAACCTCAAGTTACAAAAAAGTAAGCAGCACAGGGGACTTTCCTAAGATCTGAGTTAGTTTCCTTCCTTCGTATTAAAAGTTATCTTCCAATTTCACCATTAAATATGTATTATATACAAGATATTTATATTTCCAGTATAACTGAGATGAAGATATAGTGACTTTGAAAAGATGAGAAACCAGCTCTTTATGAAGTTCAGAATAAGACCATCCTATCCTTTAGGTCTGTTTCAAAGCAGTTGTTAGTTTTGATGCTAAATATATCAACTCCTTTTTCTGAACGCATCAAAAACAATGCAATTAGTCACAGCCTGCTTCTCAGACTTTCCAGTACTTTCTAAGTGCCTTCATTTTTCTTCCATAGGGAAGAACAACAGACATTGGTCATGACCTGACATTCACAAGGTGGTCACACAAGGCTGTAGTTCACTGCAGAAGCACCTCTATGAGGATGGAGACTATCCCAGCTACCCCACCTACACCTACCATCCAGTGCCTGCACACACAGTCTAAAGCAATCACTCTAAGAGAGAACTATAACTAAGACTAGCAGGGGAAGGTGCCACCCTTGTTTTCTTTTCTTTTTTTTTTTTTTTTTGAGACACAGTTGTACTCTGTTGCCCAGGCTGGAGTGCTGTCCTGCAATCTTGGCTCACTGCAACCTCTGCCTCCTGGGTTCAAGGGATTCTCCTGTTTCAGCCTCTTGAGTAGCTGGAATTACAGGCGCCCACCACCATGCCCAGCTAATTTTTATATTTTTAGTAGAGATGGGGTTTTGCCATGTTGGTCAGGCTGGTCTCCAACTCCTGGCCTCAAATGATCAGCCCCCCTCGGATTCACAGAGTGCTGAAATTACAGGCATGAGTCACCATGCCCAGCCCAATCACCTTATCTTAACACATGCCACTGATGAGGCTGTAACTAAGTAGAGAATAAGTGTGGGTCAACCCAACTCTGGAACAACAAACTTCAGATTTGTTGCTGAAGCTGAAATTAGTATGTGCAACAGTGCACAACAACTATGCAGAAGATTCTAGACTAGGTATACATTCTTTTAAAAAAAACTCAGCTTAACCCCAAGAGGACCCAAGAAGGTATATAGTTCTTTCATTTCTCTGCCAATTCAGAATTATATTTGCCTCTCCTACTTTTGATAAAGATGTATCAAAATAGGTTTCCGTTTCTCTCTCTCTTCCCATTGACCCTCTAGAATGCTTTAGGAAGAACCTTGTCTGAGCAACATGCCAACCCTTGCTCCCTCCGGTCATTCAGCACACATATGAGAGCCTACTATGTGTCAGAAGGCTTAATGCTGCTTCCAGGCTTAAAGCTTCCTCCCCAAATTCAGGCTGTGTGACAGGCCGGGGCAGCTTGGCACTCCCATGCTCAGCATGCAGGGACTTCCCATCTGTGCACTAGACAGAAAACCTGGAGCCATGGCTCCTGCCCTCTTGGATAAGGGAGGGCAAACTCGGTCCTCTGCAGTGAGTTTGCTTCATAAAGGAGCACACAAGGATTTCCAGTGGCTTTAAGTGATGTGCCCACCCAGAGACCCATGGCCGAGAGGTGGCTCCAGCCTGTAATGCCAACACTTTGGGCGGCTGAGGCAAGAGGATCACTTGAGACCAGGAGTTTTGAGACCAGCCTGGCCAACATGGCAAAAACCCATCTCTACTAAAAATACAAAAATTAGCTGAGCGTGGTGGTACATGCCTATAATCCCAGCTACATGGGAGACTGAGCCAGGAGAATTGCTTGAACCTGAGATGTGGAGGCTACAGTGAGCTGAGAACATGCCACTGCACTCTAGCCAAGGCAAGAGAACAACATTCCGCCTCTAATTAATTACTTAAATCAAATCGGGGAACTATCAAGGTTTCAAGATTCAAGAATTTCTTGAATCTAGAAACAAGGCCAAATCCATGTGCTTTTCCTCAAAGCCCAAGTCTGTGCATACAATATCTCCTTTCTCAAATGTGTATTCACTCAGAATACCTTTCCTCTATGACCCCACAGGAGTCCTAAGGAAATGTGGATGAAGCTGCAAAGTGGCTGCTGAGACACAGGGCAGCCCCCGGCCACTAGGCTCACCTGGCGGTCAGGTGCCAGCACAGGCAGTCAAGTCAGCACGAAGGGCCCCTTATTCCTTTGGAAATCCATCTGCACTAAGACCCTAAGAGACCAGGACCTTGACAACACAGGGCATCTGTAAGACTCTCTGGCCCTCAGAAAAAGGCTCCTCCCTCCATCCTCTTCCACCCATCCTGTACTAGAGAGAGAACAACCTAAGCCAACCTGCTGACAATCACTGAGCAGCTTGGGGGCTGGGGTTACAGAGGGTGAGACGTGGGTCTTCTCTTGTAAGGTGGGGGCTGTCAGGCTGCAGGAGCCCCTGGGAGATGTCTTAAGTGGGCCAAGAGGACTCTGAGGCAGAGGAGGGCTCAAGCTAGAATCAGAGGGATGAAAAGTCAAAAAAATTACACAGAAGTGGTCCTAGAGGGAGCCAAGGGAAAAGAGCAGGAAAAGGGGGTGAGTAGGCAGAAGGCGGGGAAAGGGGAAGGCCAAAGAGGGTCTGAAAAGCCAGCCAGACAGGGGAGTTCAGAACCAGCAAGGCCACGGGGGACCAGGGTTCCCTGCTGGGGACACCTGCCTCTGGGCAACCACTATTCATCTTTATAAATCGGCAGAAAGAGCCTACTTTGTGCGAAACAGAGTTTCCATTTACTGCAACGCTTTAATTCAATTCTCCTTCAGCATCTTCAGCCAGTCAAAAGAGTTTGTATTAGATTTAATGAAGCCCATCACTCTCCAACCACCCACACCCCCACAAAAAATAGCTGAATACACTTTTTTTTACCCCACCATTCCCAACTTTGGGATAGATCTTTTCTGTTTTTAGATTTCAGGATCTATCATCTTTTTTCCTTTCTGCTTCCCTCCCTCTGTTCCCTCTGTGGGCAGCTCCTCAGTCGCTCTGCCCTCCTGGAATCTGTGGCTATGATATGGGGATTCCCTGGCCCAGGGCCTCCCCTGTGCCCTGTGAGGGCTGAGCCAGGTGACTCCCACGCCTGGTAACTCCAACCAGCCCAATCAACTGGGGGCAACAATGCACCCTAACCCTCCGTACTCCCAGGGGAGCTACAAGCAGCTCCACACCGTGGCCATAAGTCCTGCTGTAGTGGCCACACATGGCAACCGTGACTAATTGGCAATCTGAGGCTCACCCAGCTCGTGACCCCAAGGACACCTTTCTGCAGCTGTTATCTGGGAAGGGAAGTGAAAAGAGACCAATCAAAGAGAGCCAGAGAGTGAGCCTGCAGAGACTGTTTTCCTCAGCTTTCAAATCTGGGCTCTCCTGGCAGGGCTTCAAGTAGACTGAGTCATTACCTGTTTATACCCACAGGCCCACATCTCCATGACAAACACTATAAATGAGAGCTGGCCGGGAATTGGGAGGCAAGGTAGGTGCCTTTCACTTTTCAAGAAAGCTGCTGAACCTGCAGTCAACTGCTTGGCCCAGAAGCCTGCAGCCCCACCGCAGGGCCAGCCCCACGCACCTGCAGGCACCCTGGCAGCTCAGCCCTGGCCAATGCCGGGCCCTTTTTAGCCTTTCCTCTCCCCTCTTCTTTCTGATAGTTCCCAGAGTAGAAGACAGAAGAAGAGTGTCTTATAGAATCTCCCAGAATCCTAGAATGTAAATGAAGGCTGCCAACTGATGGCTTTTCTCCAAAACCAGTTCTCTTAACACAAGAGTTTTGGTGCTACGGACCTTCAATGTATTATTTCCTCCCTTCTACCCAAAACCAAAACACCCCATCTGGAAGTGAAGCTGTGCCAGGCTATCAGTAGATTTGTGAGGAATCACCTAAAACCCCAGCGCTGTGGGGCTAACTAGAACAGCTACTAGCAGGCCTCCGACTCCCGCAACTACATGGTTGCACTCACACGCCCATGCGTCCCGTGCACACAGGGAGAGGGGCAGAAGCTTTAATTGGTCCTCCTATGAGTCCTCCAGCAACTCATGCAACCCAGGCTTGTTGCGTCAGGCCTTCCTGCAACTGTGACTTTTCCATTTTTAACAGATAACTTTGTAAGCTGCACTAAAAGGACTCAGATACCAACTACTGCAGAGGCATTTGAAGAAATACAGGAGAGAATGGCACTCGCTGTCTTACTTTTAAAACAGATGCTCCTAAGATGAAGCCAGAGAGACCACTATGGGAAGCCTGGGGCCAAGAGGGGCAGAGTCCAAACCCCAAAGGACACTGCCCCAAGTGTGCCCTTTCACAAGGGACAACAAGCACCCACCCACCCTCCATCTCTCAAACAAACTGTCAGATTATCAGAGGTAGTAATTTCACACAAAACCATGTGAAATTCCTTGGAATCTTAACCAAAAACATCCAGAGCATTTGTGTTTGATTTTACCTAACTTGTGACTACACATGATCTGTTTCACAGAAATGCACACAGCAGGAAAGGGCTTTGAATTCTTTCTGAGCACATCAAACCCTCAGCATGCCACCGCTCACAGGCCATGAATGAAGAGACACTTTCGCCCCCACACATTGAGAAAACACAGAGGACAGTGCATGAATTTATATTATTGCTGAACACTAAATTTAGAGCTTTGAAGGAGCTTAGTAGCATATCATCCAGCCTGAGTATGGAAGATTAAAGCTCAGAAAAATCACGTTTGAATGTCATATTTGTCTTTTTGCAACTTATTTCACTCAACATCGTGTGCTCATGGTTCTTCCACGTGGTAGCATGTGTCAGGATTTCCTTCCTTTTCAAGGCTGAGTAATATTCCATTGTGCAGCTCACATTTTAGTGATGGCTTCATTTCTTGCTAGACAGTCAGGCTGCTTCCACCTTTTCGGGATAGTAAATAATGCTGCTGCGACGTGGGTGTACAAATAGCTCTGAGCCCCTACTTTCAGTTCTTTAGTGTATATACCCAGAAGTGCAATTGCTGGATCCTAGGATAATGTAATTAATTTTAATTACTTTTGCACCAAGATAAAAAATAACTAGTGGTTCTTAAAACATTAAAAATAAAGGGCCAGGCATGGTGGCTCATGCCTGTAATCCCAGCACTTTGGGAGGCCGAGGTGGGTGGATCACAAGGTCAAGAGATCGAGACCATCCTGGTCAACATGGTGAAACCCCATCTCTCCTAAAAATACAAAAAAATTAGCTGGGCATGGTGGTGCGTGCCTGTAATCCCAGCTACTCGGGAGGCTGAGGCAGGAGAATTGCCTGAACCCAGGAGGCGGAGGTTGCGGTGAGCCAAGACTGTGCCATTGCACTCCAGCCTGGGTAACAAAAGCGAAACTCCGTCTCAAAAAAAAAAAAAAAAAAAAATTAAAATTAAAACTTTCGATAATAAAGTTGAACTTCCTTAAAGCAACAAATAATTCAAACAACTACCTCACAAGTCTGTAGGATTTGTATCAATTTGTAGCAAACAAACCACACACTGTACTGGCTATACCATCAGTGAGTCATATTTCTGATGACAAAGTGGTACCAAAAATAGGGCCAGCTGTCCTGAAAACTTTTTCTACAAAGTAATTTTCTACTGAAAAGACAAAATGTCTAATGTTCACTAGCAAAGCACAGCGTTCCACAGATTTCTATTATGCAGCTACCCATACTACATTTTCTAAAAGTATTCTTTATGAACATCAATTTTGAAATGATATCTGAAAAAGAGGTAAACTAAATCCAGAAATCAAAGTCCACTGAGTAACTGAAATGAAGGATCATCACTCCTGTCATATCTCTTTTGAGATTAACAACACAAGAAAAACTGGATTATGCCACAGAGAAATTTAAATCTAACATAACCAAAGCTAACAAAAGCACGTGCACATGAGGGCTGAGTATAGCTCATGGGTCCCCTGTGCGGGCTGCAGACACTCTAGAACAGACACTCTCACCTCTTGGTGATCTGGCTCGGCTCCTGCAGATCGGGGTCAAGGTCAAAGACCTCATTATCCAGCAGCCTTCGCAGCGTCACGTCGGCCAGCTGCTCCATGACCTTAAACACCTCATCCAGGTTCAGGAACATGGAGAAGTCGCGTTCCTTATTCTGTGTGGTGATTCGGATGGTATCCGTCAGAAAGACATTGGACGTTCTTTCTAATTTCTGGATATCAACCCACGGAACTACAAGTTTAACTGTAAGAGAAAAGGGTGAAATATGTATTATACCACAAAATTTGAGCCAAAGTTGAGTGTGTCAGCAAGCAAATATCCAAAGCTCTCCTTAGGCCAATGTGCAAATGCCTTTTTAAAAAATCTTTTAAGTTCAGGGGTACATGTGTAGGTTTGTAATATAGGTAAACTCATGTCACAGGGGTATGCTGTACAGATTATTTCATCACCCAGGTGTTAAGCCTGGTAACCATTAGTTATTTTTTCTGATCTTCTCCCTCCTCCCACTCTCCCCGCTCAAGTGAGCACCTGTGTCAGTTCTTCCTCTCTATGTGTCCATGGATTGTCATCATTTAGCTCCCACTAATTAGTGAGAACATGCAGTATTTGGTTTTCTGTTCCTAGTTTGATAAGCATAATGGCCTCCAGCTCCATCCATCTTCCTGCAAAGGACATGATCTCATTCTTTCTTATGGTGGCACAGTATTCCATGGTGCATATGTACCATGTTTTCTTTATCCAGTCTACCAATGATGGGCATTTAGGTTGATTCCATGTCTTTGCTATTGTGAATAGTGCTGCAATGAACATACACATGTATGTGTCTTCATGGTAGAATGATTTATATTCCTTTGGATATACACCTGGTAATGGGATTGCTGGATTGAATGGTACTTCTATTTTTAGTTCTTTGAAGAATCACCACACTGCTTTCCACAATGGTTGAGCTAATTTACAATGCTACCAGCAATACCATTCTGGACATAGAAACAGGCAAAGATTTTATGCCAAAGACATCAAAAGCAATTCCAACAGAAGCAAAAATTGACAAATGGGATCTAATTAAGTGAAAGAGCTTCTGCACAGAAAAAAACAAAACAAAAACAAAAAACCTTCAATAGAATAAACAGCCTATAGAATAGGAGAAATTTTTTGCAAACTATGCATCTCACAAAGGTCTAATATCCAGCATCTACAAGGAACTTAAACAAATTTACAAGAAAAAAGCAAACCACCCCACTAAAAAGTGGGCAAAGGACATAAACAGACACCTTCCAAAAGAAGACATACATACGGCCAACAAGCATATGAAAAAGAGCTCAATATCACTGATCATTAGAGAAATGCAAATCAAAACCGTAATAAGATGCTACCTCACACCAGCCAGAATGGCTATTATTAAAAAGTCAAAAAGTAACAGATGCTGGCAAGGCTGGGGAGAAAAGGGAACACTTATATACTGCTGGTGTAAAGAGCACAGACCACTTCTCAGCTGTTGGTCAAAACCCAACTCATGTTCTAATGGTTTCCTTAAAGATCTAAGTAAAACTTCCCAAGTTGCTGGCTACTGCTTGTTTCAAAGGAACACTGTTCTGAAATTCCAAGTTAACAATGTATATCTTTCTCAAGAATATTTAAACTTCAACAGTTATGCAAAAGTTTCTGAATCTGCATAAATTCTGGTTTCAAATAATATGGGGACCAGGGAAGGCTTTCTGGAGCTGACAAAATCTAAACTGAGTTTTGAAGGATGAATAGGAGTTTCCAACAGGCTAAGTACAGAGAAAGGAGAGAAATGCATTTCAGAAAGAAGGAAGACAGGGATGGCCAAAGTTAGGTCAGTGCACGCTCCAAGGGTGCAGAAGGGTTGTGCAGATAGGGTGTGTATCCTAGAGCATCAGAACCAAGGCTGGTGAGCTGGAAAGGGAAGGGAACAGCACATGCCAGAAGCCAGCCACAGGAGACACTCAAGAAGAGCCCCTATAACTGGTTCAACTTGAAATAGAAATGAAGAAAGAAAAAAATTACACACTCACATATGCAGCATCCATACTACTCAACATGAGCACTGGAAACAATACTTGGTTCTGGAAGAAGTTTCCGTGGGAATGATTTTTTAAACATTGACACTTGTGGCTTCTCATATGTGAGCAGTGACTCAGTGCATGAATCTCAAGGGGATATAAGTGAAGAATTCCTTCTGTACGCGACTGCATATCCAGCCAGTCTTCCAAGGGACAGTCCTGACCTTCGGGGCTGGGAATTTTCGTTAAGAAGTAAAAATATGTTCTATACGTTGAGAAATATTCAGCTATCAGGGATGACACCGTGTTTTCAAAACACAATCTATAGCAATTGAAATCCTTTAGTGGTTAAGTAGAAAAAGTGAATTTCTCCAGATCTAATCCCTTGCTAGCAGTAGCATACGTAAGGAATCAAGTGTCACCTAGTGTCATCTCCACCATTTATTTAAATCTGTTCAGCTCTTCCTGTTAATGGCCCTTCCTGGGAGCCTCGCTGAGTCCCCAGGGCCAACTTTATCTGGAAGAGCCTGCCAGGCCTCACTTACGTTCCTTGCCCAGGAAGAAGGAGTAGAAGCAGAGATGGTTGATGCTGAGGTACAGCCAGCCCTGGCGGGGCACCCTGCCCTTCCAGCAGCAGCAGGAGTAGTAGGTGACCAGCTTCTCCGCCTCAGGGAAGTTGAACCTGGCCTCGAACTTCACCAGGGCTTCTCGGAACTTCTCAGGTTCTTCTTCCTGCTCAGCGAGCCTGCTGCTGGTCTCCTCGGCTATCAGAGCCTGACACACACAAAAATGACAGTTCCTGCTCAGTGAGCCAGCAATGGGAAGGCAGGGGGTGCAAGAGACAGGAAGCAAGAGGGACGGAGGTGCATAGGCCCCCAAGAAGTGTGTGTTGCTTCAACGACAGACACACCTGACGAGGAGAATAGGTCAGCCGTGTTATCTGTCAGCCACCCAGACGCATGGCTGCAGCAGAAAAAAAAAGGAATGGAGTCGGGGTCAGAAAACCCAAGAAATCAGTCTCTCACTCAGCCTATTACCAACCATGACCCTCTGGGCAAATCATCTGACTTCTAAGCCCAGTTCTCAAACAACCAATCATTTTCTAAATCCTCCATACAGGGATATGAGGATTAAAAGACTGGTTCAAGCCTGTGAACTTGCTACATCAATCCCAAAGAACTACCTACGTTTGAGATAAAAGTTAGTCCTGTAAGGATCCAGGTACGGTGGCTCACACCTGTAATCCCAGCACTTTGGGAGGCTGAGGTGGGCAGATGACTTCAGGCCAGGAGTTCAAGACCAGCCTGGCCAACATGGCAAAACCCCATCTCTACTAAAAATACAAAAAAATTAGCCAGGCATAGTTGTACACCCCCTGTAATCCCAGCTGCTTGAGAGGCTGAGGCACAAGAATCACTTAAACCCCAGAGGGAGAGGTTGCAGTGTGCCGAGATCGTGCCACCGAGCTCCAACCTGGATGACAGAGGGAGACCCTGCCTCAAAAAGTCTTTTGAGAGAAACTCATGAAGGTCTTCCTCATTTGGTTCAAAAATGTTGGTATTTAAGGCTACTACATGCCTGACTGTGGCTCACTCTGTAGTCTTAAATGGACACTGGCCAAGGTTCCCAAGGTCATAAATAACCTCCAGAGCACTCAAGTCTATGGGAAAAGAAAGCCTCTAAATCTACAGATTTTTTGCCAAAAATGAGTAACAACTAGCGTCCTTCATAATCTGGGGTGGTGGTAGAAGGGCCTAGAATTCAAGCTTGTGGCCTATTTGTACTTAATTAACAACTCATTGCTAAGATCAGAAATCTAATTTCCCATCCCTGGAAGCTCACTGCAAAATCTTTCCTTGAGAATATCTTCTTAGTACCTCCACACGAGCAGCTATTTAGGAACTCCTGGGCCCCAGGCCTCACATATGCTATTTGACTGTAAAAATACATTTATAATTCAAATCCCAGCTACTCAGGAGGCTGAGGCAGGAGAGTTATGTAAGCCCAAAAGTTTGAGGCTACAGTGCACTATGATGGTACCTGTGAATAGCCATGGCACTCCAGTCTAGGCAACACAGCAAGACCCCATCTCTAAATATATATATAGCATTTATTTTTATTAACATTTTCCCATACACACATACACACACACACACACACACACACACACACACACGGCATTTACTTTTATTAACATTTCCCCTTTTATAGTAGGTATGTCTCATGAAAAGCTATGTCCTTCAAGACAAGACTACTTTTGGGGTATTGCTGTCAAACCCTGCATAAGCTATTTTCAAAATTATACCTGAGCATTGACATTAAAATAACAATGTAATTTAAAATTATTTTTAAAAGAAATCCGGAGGCCAGTGAAATTTCATGTGATTTTCGTTTTCTTTATTTCCCACATTTTATTTAACAAGACATTATACATTAATGAAATTCTAGTTAAGAGAAATGATTACTTTTGAAAGGCATATCTAATGCATAATGAGTGCTGAGTCTCCCCTTGCCCTAGAAATGAGGCGTGGAGGGGTCTTTAGGAAGGCTCCAGAGCGGACAGGCAGCAGGCACAGCTGCAGAGTAGGAGTCAGTGGCTCCTGGTGCAGGCATGAGGGTGGCCGTGTAGACCCCTGCCTTTCTTGGGGTGTGGTTTCCGGTTACAGGCACAGCTTGAAACAGGCATTTTTTTTTTAAACCATACATCTTTTTTATTGTTAAGTCATAAAAATGCATCAAAATTAAAAGCAAAAGTTACAGGGTACTAGGAGCGTTAAAGGAAGTGAAAATGGGACTAGGCACAGGGCAGTATCAATTAATGAACGTGGGAAGGACAAGGATGGGGAGAACAGTGAGCATGTGCTGAAAATACTAGGGGAGAGGACGTGGTGAAAAATTACATCTTAGACAAGCACCTAGGTAAAGAAATAACAGGATAAGATTTCTAAACCCCACTATGTGCTTAAGAGTCATCCTCTCCTTCCTCGGCCTCTTTTTCATCATTCTTGATCAACTCCAGCTGGTCATCCCCCCCCCCCCCCGTCTTCATCATCCAGTAGGTCCCCCTCATCAGCAGAGTCATCTGCAACCCCTCAGACTCCATCTTCACATTAGTCCCATCTTTCTTCACAGAGCTAGTACTCTGCTCCTCTTCTGACTTATCATCAAACAGGGATTTTGAAAAGTTTTATAGAGCCATCAAAGGCTCAGGATACGCGTAGAAAAGCCTCAATTCCCAGATCCTTAGGATCTGGCCAGAGGAAGGGGAGATCAAATATCATGCTGCGCTCCCAGGCTCAGGCCAGGCAGGCCCCTCACTCCCCAGCCCTGCCTCCTCAGGACTCACTTTTCAAGGCATTTTAGCTTCAAAGTGTCAGGGACTACAATGTTACCCCATAATATACCACTTAGGCATAAGGATTATTTTAAACTGAAGACAACTGAGAAATGGCAAACACCAAAAAGGCTCTCTGTCCTCCCCCGGCATTTGCCTAAAAAAAACAGGACCTGTTTTTAAAGGCCCATTTGTCAAGGTGTGTCCTGCTCCTGTACCAGAAAGATAACCTTGACTCAGAACAGAACTTAGAAGAATCTATATAACAAACCTTACTAAAATAATCCTTAGCTTCCCTGAGTTTCCCATACAGTATGCTGCCCCAAAAGCCTAAAGGCCTTTTCCCTAGTCTTGGCACCTTTCTACAAATGCACTGTTCTTTGCCGAGATGCTATGTAAGCCCAAGTGCTAACCACCCCTGTGAGTTACTCATCACTGAATTTCTTTTACACACATGCACGGCGTGTGTGTTCATATAAAGTCTGTTTGACTGGGCACAGTGGCTCTCATCTATAATCCTAGCACTTTAGGAAACCAAGGCAGGAGGGTTGCTTGAGCCCAGGAGTTTGGAACCAGCTTGGGCAACATAGTGAGACCTCGTCTCTATAGATAATAAAAAAAATTAGCCAGGTGTGGTATTGTATGCCTAGAGTCCCAGCTACACGGGAGGCTGAGGCAGGAGGATCGCTTGAGCCCAGGAGGTCAAGGCTGCTGTGAGCCACGATTGCATCACTGCACTCCAGCCTGAGTGACAGACAAAGACTGTATCTCAAAAACACAGCCAACAAAAATCAACTGTTTTTCTCTTGCTCATCTTTTTCAGTGTAATTTCCAGGGCCCCAGCCACAAAATCTAGGAGAGTCAAGGACAAGTTTCTTATTCTACAGAAACTTTTCTAAAATCACTGTAGCGAAAGTTAATTTTCTTCCTCCAAATTAAGAACAGCAACGTCTAAATCAAAGAACCACTACAACTTGCATTAGACCAAAAAAGGTGAAGTAAGTGTGAAAAATAACATCGAATGGGGCCTTTCTGTACCTATCCCAGTGTGATCTGACCCAGAGAAGTGAGCCACAGTTGGCTGGGCCAGGATGAGGGCTGACCCAAGCCTACCATGGACTAGCCCACCCCCCAACCCTACAGGCCAGGGATAACTCCAAGAAGACACTGCCAAGCCGGCTGGACTTGGGATGCCTTCCCTTTTCACCAGATCCCACAAGTATCCCCAGTCACCAAAGGAAAAGAATTTGTTCCTCTAAAACCAAAAATTTGCTTTGATACCATTTACTAAAAGCCATAGCACTTGAGGTATTAGAAAGCCAACCTTTTTGCAGAAAACAAACAAAATCGAAGGGGTAGGATGTTTTACCCTGAGGTAGGAAAACTATCACATGCTAATGTGTTAACGTATTTAATGAGAGAGTTAAATTTAGAATGAGAAACCATCTCTCCCAGCCTGAAGGGGTTTTTAAAGCACTGATTACCCATCATGTTACTGTAGTGAGGCCAGTTATATAAGACTGTAACTCACAGGCGGTATTACGGATATCTCCCAAAATGTTCCTCTCTTGCCAACTCAAAATTTAATTGGCTTTAATTACATTTAATTTATATATTTTAAGAATAAACATCTACTTCTAGCAGGAGGAAAGTGCTAGGTCCAACAGAATAGTATGACAAGATGGCAAGTTGCAAAAGAAAAAGTGATTTAAGAGTCAAATAATGTGTTGCCCTGCAAAAACACAAATCTTAACATTATTTTTTTTTCCTGGGACAAAAAAAGGGCCTTCACTCCTGTAAAGGATAACAAAAACTAAGCCTGAGAATAAAGGCTTTTTGTTTTAACATGTTAGGTGTATTTTGCTAGACTGACTACAAAGTTAAGACAAATGATCAATGAAACTTACTTGGCTTTATGTACTAAGCCAAAAAGTTCAGTTAGTAGAAAAAAACTGTTAGCATGCTACAGTTTTCAGAATGTCTTAAGGAAGAAAGAGGAAAGATGGGGAGAAACATTAAACTCAAGGGACCTACCTTTACCTTCCCTTTGACAAAACTGGCAATGTCATCTTTATTATCAAAGACGGACAAGGTGTGGAGGAGATTTTGCTCCAGCCAGTCCCAGTGCTGGTTTATTTCCTCTAATGTTGCACCTGGATTCGAATAGAAAAAGAAACAGATTTAAAAATGCAATGAAAGTAATTCCTAGAACATGAACTCATTTTCCAAATATTATGTATCCCTGTGTTGATGTTATTAAAACATCTGGGCTCTCAAACCCTGGGCCACGGTTCGCCAGCTGAAATTGAAGGCATCCTTCTCGGGGCCATGGTGCTCCTCCCCGCAGCACTGGGATGTGCAAGCATCACTCCCACTGCCACATGGATGGGCCAGCTGGCCAAGTGAGTTACTGCTGGGACTCTTCTTTGACAATCCCACCCACCCTACTAACACACAGACCTCCGACCACCTCCACTCAAATGACAGAAACATTTGTAATTATTCAGCTACTCCAACATGGAACAAGCCCAGAGTAGCAGACCAATCCTGAGCAGTCTTGCAAAGTTCTCCCATGAAAACAAGGGTCCCTTCAAGAGGCAGCAAAGCCCAAGTCCATGGAGGAAGGAGCCTCTTGCCAGGGCTCTGCTGAAGGTCCCAGGGGATGCCACTTGAACCCAACATCACTACAACACAACAAGCAAGGGCCTAGGAAATTTACAGCTTACAAATGTATACTTCATATCATGCATAGCAATGACCTTTAAAAACATACATAAAAAGAGGTCTTGTATTACATGTTAAAACAGAAACACAAAAGCATTCAATCATAGACAGTAAATTCAGTTTTCAATGACAATTTTTTTAAATCACCATTATTATTAAAGCATTAAGCAAAAAGCTTAGTCATTTTAGTTGTCTGTATTTCTTCTCTATTCCCATCATCTCCACTGGACAACAGGCACTTTGACACAGGGACTGTTCCCAGCTCCTCATGAAGGGCCTGGGACACAGCAGATGCTCAATAAAGTCCACCAACTGGAAGTACACACAGTCCTGGACAACAGAAGGCACATGGGCATCAGGGGTTTCTAGTGTAGCCAGGTTTCCAAAATGGGAAGCAGAAGATATTCTAATCACAAAGAAATTAAGGAGTGCCAGACAAACAACAGAGCTGAATCATCTAGCCAGTGTGAGAGGGATATGGTGCCTGGAGCCACACATCACTTACCCAAAAGCCAGGCATGGACTGGGCACAGTCGTTCACGCCTGTAATCCCAGCACTTTGGAAGGCTAAGGCAGGCAGATCACTTGAGGTCAGGAGTTTCAGACCAGCCTGACCAACATGGTAAAACCCTGTCTCTACTAAAAACACAAAAATTAGCGGGGCATGATGGCAAGCACCTCTAATCCCAGCCACTCGAGAGGCTAAGGCAAGAAAATCACTTGAACCCAGGAGGCGGAGGTTGCAGTGAGCCAAGGTCAAACCACTGCACTCCAGCCTGGACGACAGAGCACAACTCTGTGTCTTTAAAAAAAAAAAAAAACCCAGGCGTGCACTTGCTCTAAGTCATCTTTCTCTCAGCATATTATATGCAGCCTTCCTTTCATTGGAATTAAATATAAACATCCCACACAAGAAGGTGCCAAACGACTGGCTCTGAACTTGTGACTTTGGGGTCCATGAATATGAAAAACACCTATCTGTAGTAGGACTGTTGTTCTGAGTGGGCACTTGGGGAAGGAATAAAAAGAAGTATCTATCTAACAGAATACTTCTTAAGGAATAATGAAAGTTTAAAACAACCGTGCTTATTTTGTATTTTCCCAATTTTTAGGCAAATCATTGGCCAAAGCAATGTTCTCCAGTCCTCACTAAAGCCATTAGAGCTGGGAAGGCTGGCCCAGGCTTCTCTCTGCCAGAGGTCTCTATACACAGGCCACAACTCCCCCGGTCCCTGTACCAAGAACACTTGGCCAAGGACCCTGCCCTGCTGCCCCTCGGTCGCACCTCCCATGTCCTACTCCATGGATCACAGAAGCCCAAGCAGCAGCCCACTCAGGTGCAGCAGAAACTTCCTCTGAGGTGAGGGGTCGTGGTCCTCTTGCTATCCACTTCCTACCCTCTGGGAGGGCTCCTGTGGTGTCAGGAAACCCCTGGCCCTTCAGGCTCCCTGTCCCTCTTACAATCAGGAAAGCTTATTTTAAAACAAAATCAAACCCAGCTACTCTAGGCTCCCCAGCATGACTCTCTTGAAGCTTCTGACCTTTCCCTACCTACACTGAGGCCCAGAGCATCTGTTTGTTTCCTCAGCTGTTTATAACACACACCATGCTGGCCTGACATAGGGGTACATCTCGTTTACCTGCTTTTAAGTCTCCCTGCCCTACTCAGTGCCTCCAGGTGGTGGCCACAAGAACATCCTCTTCTAAATCCAGTGGGTCAGTAATAGTGCCTCTATCACATCACTAAGTTGGGTTCCACCCAAGCCGATAATCTTGCACAAGCACCTGGGTGGCCCAGAGCTCGCTCTTCTGTGGTACTTTCAGACCTCATCTTTCTAGGTCTTTACCCATTATTATCCATTACAATAAAAACCACTACTCAGAATACTTAAAAAAAAAAAGTGAAGAATAAGCTGAAAAGAGAGCAGTTTATGGTCCCTTGATCTTTTGCAATATGTTTTCATGGACTCTCTCACTGATTGAGAAGAAGAGAAACCAAAATTTGCAGGAACGAAGAAAAACCAAAGCAGGGAGAAGACTCATTTTTGTGGTACTAGGCTGTTCCAGGCACTATTCACTGATCTGTGATAAAGACTGAACGAGAAAATAGAGGCTCAAGTATTTGTCCAAAAGCTTATCAAATGAAGGGCAAACCAGAGCACAAAATGGCTCTCTACAACCTCAAAGTACTCGGGGGTCCGGGATCCTTCCGTAAAAAGCTACATTTGAATTTCTTTTCCTTTTTTTTTTTTTGGAGACGGAGTCTCACTGTTGTTGCCCAGGCTGGAGTGCAGTGGCGCAATCTCAGCTCACTGCAACCTCCGCCTCCCAGGTTCAAGCAATTATCTTGCCTCAGCCTCCCGAGTAGCTAGGATTATAGGCGCATGCCACCATGCCTAGCTAATTTTTGTATTTTTAGTAGAGACAGGATTTCACCATGTGAGTGAGGCTGGTCTTGAACTCCTGACCTCAAGTCATCTGCCTGCCTCGGCCTCCCAAAGTGCTGGAATTACAGGCATGAGTGACAGTGCCTGGCCCTGCTACATTTGAATTTTTAAGTATCATTTACATCATCTTCATCACCATCACCCTTACATGAAGTCCAGTTCTTGCTATGGCTGGGCAGTAAAAGAGATACTTGGCGCTTCAACTTGCAGCAAGCTCTCTTCTTCCATTCCCATCCTCCCAAATGCATCTTTCCGGATGACCTGATACAGGTTTTCATTTATTTCATTTATCCTGCTATTAAGCTCACAGGGGCTAACACCGTTAACTGATAACAGCTAACCACATGTGGCTTCCTCAACTGATAACTTTAGATGACATGAATAAATTATCATTAAGCCCCAACACAATATATTCCTATGGAATTAAGATCTAAGACAAAGTCATCAAAAAACTAGAATTTTATTCTTTAAAAAAAAAAAATCCTGCCTACTGGGAAGGAGCTTATCATAGAGAAAGATAATTCTAAAACAAAAACAAACCCACATCTTACAAGAGAAAATAAATCACACGTTAAAAAAAAATCTATCTCTGAGCCATAGTAAGGTTTTGTTCCAATCTACCCTGCTACTGAATATAAGACATAATTGTACGCTTCTCTCAGCAAAGACAATCAATATGATGAAACTTTTCCACCCTACTGGCTTCTACTTCCTAGAAAAGTTGCCAAATGGCAGGGAAATTTTCCAGACTATAATTTCCTCTGCAGGAAAGTCTTATGATGGGTTCCACAAATTCCACAAATGAATGCAAGCCGACTGCACATCCGTGACTGCAAAAGATTAAAAGGGAAAGTCCTTCAGTGTAAGTCACATACCACAGTTCTGAAACTACACTACAGCTGTGTTTTTCAAATTGCATAAAGTAGCACATCTGAAAATACCTTTTTTTCAAGAAAAAAATATAATAGAAAACAGAAGACATGCAAACTCCTAATGGTAGCTACTCATTTGTAAAATATTTCTTAGAGTTATACACACACACCTGAATATACTTCTGTCTGTAGGTCACAGTCAAAAAAAGATTGAAAGCCACTGCATTATAGACATACGAGCAGTGGGAAAGGCAGAAAAGAGAAAACAAGAAACTGAGACTGCATCATCCACTGAAGAGACAGGCTGATAAAAAGCCTACAAATTAAGCCAGTACCACAGCAATGTTCTCACTGCTGCTGCTGCTCACTTTCCAAAACCAAGACAGAGGAGACTGCTACTATGGCCTGAATTTTGTCTCCCCAAAATTCATGTTGAAGCTCTAGCTCCCCATGAGAGTATATTTGGAGATGGCACTTTTAAGGAGGTATAAGGTTAAATGAGGTCATTAAAGCAGGGCCCTAGTTTGGCCCTTTTAAGAAGAGACACCAGGGAAATGCATCCACAGAGAAAAGGCTATGTGAGGACACAGAGAGAAGGCTGCTGTCTGCAATCCAAGGAGAAAGGCCTCACCAGAAACCAACCCTGCTGGCACCTTGATACTGGACTTCCCAGTCTCCAGAACTGTGAGAAATAAATGCTTGTTATTTAAGCCACTCAGTGTGTATAGGGAGCTAGGGATGGAGTGGGGGTGGGGAGCAGCACTAGCAAACTAATGCAGCTGTCTAAAACCAAAATTTATTATGGAGTGTCATAGAAGTTCAATTAGCAAAATTACGCCTGTCTTATTAAGGCCTCCAATTTTGAAAAAAAGACTTTTTCATTTTCTAAGAAAATGAAATTCCAGTGAATCTTAAACTTTACCCCATAAGAAGTCAAAAGTCAGACTTATAAATGCCTCTGTAAAACTAAAATTCAGTATTAGAAACCTCAGGTAAGACCACAAAACAAACAACACTGATGACTTAGGTGTAACCAAACAATCCACGTTCTAAGAACAACCAGAGGTGGTCAGCAGATGACATTTTCTGCATGCCTGACATGTGCCGGGAATTTTGTTCCATATACTATACACATAATATCACTTATCACCACAACAATATTACAAGGTAACTGCCAGTATTTTAATTTTCTAGGTGAGAAGAGCAAAGTGAAGAAAATAACCAACTGGAAAGCCAGTACATCTGACTCAGGCCTGGCCCTGCCCGTGACATCACCATTGATGGAAGCTCCCAGTAGCAGAGTCACACTGAAACGCACACACAGTATTTATTCTCTTAGGTTTTCCCCAGAGGTATTTTAGGGAACTAAAACAAGCATCTCATTGTCTATGCCTACAGCTTCTGCAGGAACACTGCCACAAATAATTTGATCCAAGCTTGTTTTAAAAAGCAGCTGCTTCTCTCTGCAGAGCAAATAGCCAACTGAATTAAGGGCCTTCTCCAGCCACCTAAGTCCTCATCAACAATGAAATGGGCATTCTGTGTGCACAGTTCAGATCTGTTCTTCTGAAATGACAAGACATTTCTCTACAGGCCAAACACTAACCATCTACTGTCTATATGCCTGGGCTAACAGCCATACAGACTACAAAGGAGCTAGTTAAAAGTTAACTGTCATGGCAGTGTCATTCCCAAATCTCACTCAACACTCACCCTGTGCAGGGTAACTCAGGATCAAAGAATTCAAGCAAAAATTACAAATGAAGGAGAGAAAGGGTTAGAATAAAAAGCCTTCCATTTTCAGAAAGCTCACATTCTTCAAGTGGATACTATATCATCTAATCTGTAAGTCTAAAGCAGTATCTTTACAAGAACATATAAAAGTTCAGTGATCATTCCATCATCATGACTTACAAGATTTTCAGCCATGTATATTTCTCACTAAAGAGTTTAAGAAAATAAGCTTTAAATGTTTCTTTTCACAAATTTCCTTGGTTTGTTGTTTTTTTTGTTTTGTTTTGTTTTTTGCCTTCAAGTGAAATTAAGGAATCCTAAGAGTGACAATCTCTTTGACACTAAAAGTAAAACAGCCTTTTAATTTATAATTGAAATGGTCATTAAAATGTGCTTATATTCGTACCATTAGACACTCTTTTCAGAAGTAAAAGCAGGGATAGAAAACACAGAAAAACATGATCTATGACCAAATGAAAAATCATGATCTATGACCAGAAACAGTCAGAAATGATACAGACAATAGAATCAGTAGACCGATACATAAAACTGCTATTATAACTATACTCTAAGGCCGGATGCAGTTGCTTACGCCTATAATCCCAGCAGGTTGGGAGGCCAAGACAGGCAAATTACCTGAGGTCAGGAGTTTGAGACCAGTATGATCAACATGGTAAACCCCATCTCTCCTAAAAATATAAAAATTAGTTGAGTGTGGTGGTGGAAGCCTGTAGTCCCAGCTACGCAGGAGGCTGAGGCCAGAGAATTGCTTGAACCTGGGAAACAGAGGTTGCAGTGAGCCAAGACCACACCACTGCACCCCAGCCTGGATGACAGAGCAAGACTGTGTCTCAAAAAAATAAAATAAAACAAATATAAATATACTCTCTCTGTTCAAATGGTAGAAGGTACAAGCCCGTTAAGAAGCCAAATGGAAGATATTTATTTTAAAAAGACCCCATTAAAACCTTTATGAATGAAAAATACGTTATTTAAATAAGATTAAATCAATAAGGGGGAGAAATCAATTCTTAAAAAATGGAAAAATTTAACTATTTATTGGGTTATTAAAATAATTACAGAAAAAAAATAACTAAACAGTGTTTTAACTACACATATTTATAGGCATACATACCTCAAAAATATTGTGGGTTCAGTTCCAGACCCATTAAATTAAGCAAATATCACAATAAAGCAAGTCACACAAATTTTTTGGCTTCCTAGTGCATATAAAAGTTATACTGGCCAGGCACAGTGGCTCACACCTGTAATCCCAGCACTTTGGGAGGCCGAGGTGAGTGGATCACTTGAGGCCAGGAATTTGAGACCAGCCTGGCCAACATGGTGAAACCCCATCTCTACTAAAAATACAAACACTAGCCGGGCATGATGGTGTGCGCCTGTAATCTCAGCTAATCAGGAGGCTGAAGCAGGAGAATTGCTTGAGCCTGGGAAGTGAAAGTTGCAGTGAGCCGAGATCAAATGCCACTGCACTCCAGCCTAGGCAACAGAGCAAGACTCTGTCACAAAAAAAAAAAAAAAAAAAAAAAAAAAAAGGTATATTGACACTAGACTGTAGTCTATTAAGCGTGCAATCACATTATTACGACTCCTCCATCTCCTCTCTCCTGCTATTTCTGGTGGCCTCTGGCCACATATTTGTATGATGGAGATACAGCCAGTGGCTACAGAAGGAAGGTGCTTTCTGGCTGGCAGAGTGTTCACGACTTTAGTTCTTACTCCAAAAGCACCTTGCTAAATCTAAACAACCAGCTGTCTCTAAACAACCTGGCTTGGTCTCATGCACGTTATTAAAATAATGAATCTTCCTCTCCTATAAGGTGGACCTACAGCCATGACAATCTACTGTACTGGCCTTTAAGGCATTTCATTCCAAACACTGCATGGGAAGAGTAAAATGTTCTCTCTTCGAGAGGCCAGGTGACACTCAATCACAGTTGAACAAGCTTGAATAACACAGTTTTCACAGACTGTCATGGGGGATGTTGAGATTAGGGACAGGCATACCTTGGAGATATTGTGGGTTTGGTTCCAGACCACTGCAATAAAGCAAATATCACAATTAAGTGAGTCACTTACAAGTTTTTAAATTTCCCAGTGCATATAAAAATTATGTTCACAGTATGGTGTAGTCCATTAAGTGTGTGATAGCATTATGTCTTTTAAAATTACATACTTTAACTAGAGATTACTTTATTGCTTAAAAAAATGTTCATGATTATCTGAGCCTTCAGTGAGTCGCAATCTTTTTGCTGGTGGAGGGTTTCTTGCCTCAATGTAGATGGCTGCTGACTGATCAGTATGCTGGTTGCTGAAAGTTGGGGTGGCTTTAACAACTTCTCAACATAAGACAACAGTGAAGTTTCTTACATGATTGACCTCCCTTTCTTGAAGATGCTGTTGACAGCATTTTGCCCACAGTAGAACTTCTTTCAGATTTGGAGTCAATTCTCTCAAACTGCTGCTTTATGAACTAAGGTTTACGAAATACTCTAAATCCCTTGTTGTCATTCCAACAATGTTTAAAGCATTCAACAATGTTTCAACAGCCTCTTCACCAGGAATAGATTCCCTCTCGAGAAGTCACTTTCTTTGGTCATCCATGAGAAGCAACTCCTCATCCACTGAAGTTTAAGGAAATTGCAGTACTTCAGTCCCATCTTCAGGCTCCACTTCTAATTCCAGTGCTCTTGCTATTTCCACCACATCTGTAGTGACTCCCTCCACTGAAACCTTGAACCCCCTCAAAGTCACCCACGAGGGTCAGAATCAACTTCTTCCAAACTCCTATTAATGCTGGTATTTTGACCTCCTTTCAAGAACCAGAAATGTGCCTAAGGGCATCTAAAATGGCAAATCCTGACCATGACCTGCAGCAGCAGCTGAGACACCTGGGAAGGAATGCATCTTTCCTTCTGTAGGCTTCAGTCGAGAACTCTTGGTCACCTTGGTAATACCAGGTTGGATGTCCAAAGTTGCAGAAAAAAGACCAGAACTTTCAGGAAAAAACTTACTGTATCAGGCAAAAGTGAAGTCAATGTTCCAGGAAGTTCATCCCCAAAAAAAGGCAGCTGTCTCTGGAAAATGTAACCACAGTGGTGGTGTGTAAACCCAAACTTTTACCCTTAAAATCTCTGACTCTGGAAAAACTAGAGAAAATGCACCAAGCAGCAAAGGATACAAGTAGCCAACAAGAAATGGCAGAAAAGGAACAATGGTAAATAACCCACTGAATGATAACTCAGCACTTTAGGGAACAATCAGCCTTATCTACCATTTAACAATAACTTGGCTGGGTGCGGTGGCTCATGCCTGTAATCCCAGCACTTCAACCAGGTGGATCACCTAAGGTCAGGAGTTCGAGACCAGCCTGGCCAACATGATGAAACCTTGTCTTTACTAAAAATACAAAGTTTAGCAGGGTGGGGTGTGGGTGCCTCTAATCCTACCTACTCAGGAGGCTGAGGCAGGAGAATCACTTGAACCCAAGAGGCAGAGGCTACAGTGAGTTAAGATTGTACCACTGCACTCCAGCTTGGGCAACAGAACAAGATTCCATCTCACAAAAAGGAAAAAAAAAAAAAAAAGAACAAAAAACAAGAACTAGAAAATAAGGTACATCTGTACACCGAAAGTAGTATTTGTTAATAGTATCAATAAAATTGGTAATATTCATACAAATAATATAAAAATACCCAAGACTGATAAAACTTGTATTGTGAATTTAAACACTTCGGTTTGCATTAAACATAAGCAGTTAAACTTTCAACCAAATTTTATGGCAAGTCATATTTTCAGGATTGTAAATTAACTTATCATTCACTATTCTTATTGCTCTCAGTTTTAGAGATAACGCTCTTGGCACAAGGGATTAAAACATTTATATACAGAGCATGTTTATATTTTTATTAGAAGCCTAAATTTGAAGATACATTCTAATCTTACATAAAGTTCACGTTGGGTTTTTACATTATGCAATTTTTAAAAACTTTTTTAACAGATTTTCTGTGTTATATTAAATACTATTAAATATCTTTTGTGACCAACTGATCCTACCAGTAATGACAAAACTGTGTCTTAAAACAAATATATTTTCTTTTTTTTTTTTTTCTGGCAGTCTCATTTTGTCACCCAGACTGGAGCACGGTGGCACAATCTCAGCTCACTGCAACCTCTGCCTCCCAGGTTCAAGCAATTCCCCTGCCTCAGCCACCTCAGTAGCTGGGATTACAGGCGCCCACCGCCATGCCTGGCTAATTTTTTAATTTTTACTAGAGACGGAGTTTCACCATGTTGGCCGGGCTGTTCTCGAACTCCTAATCTCAGGTGATCTGCTTGCCTCGGCCTCCCAAAGTGTTGGGATTACAGGCGTGAGCCATGGCACCTGGCCAACAATTCTGATTTTTAAGAAATCCTCGCCTATTCTGTAGTCAGCTATGCTTATAATTACATTAATTTCAAGGACTTGAGAACTACATTTCTGCCTTTATCATCCAGCTATCACACAATTACAAACCTAAAAATGGTTACTGTAATTATCTATGTAAGCCTAAATAATATCGACTTGAAAGACCCCATGAGGTAAATATGCACATTAAACTTGGATTTTTAATTCTAAAAGACTATACCTAAGCCTATAATAGGTATATTGCTAAGAGTATCTTTGTAAATTCTGAATATAATTCTTGGGAGTTTGCTGCAGTTAATAATAGGCAATTTAAATTAGCATAGACCTTAAGGCCTGCTTGAGTTACTAGGCACCATAAAGGAGTTTAGAAATGTGGTCATTCTTTAGTAAATTGTTATTGATTGGTAGGTGATATTTTCTCAGATATTAAGTAAATGTAAAAGCTTTGGGTATTAGAGACTAGCTTTCTATAACACTAACTATTATTTGGTAATAGAATTTTAAAATGATGAAAGGTATTGTATGTTTTAGAAATTTCATTGAGGTCCAGATAAGAGCAGACAACAATGGAGATAAGTGTGCATGTGTTTTTCCTCAGTTTAACTTTAAATAATTTACTACTGTACTCTCATTTTACAAGTTTGCAGGAAAAAAAAAGTTTTCAAGGAACACAGATTAAATTCACTAGGTTCAAATATGCTTCCTTATATAATTTAAAATTTGCTGTGTGAAATTTAGAAGTGTTTTTAAAGACTCAAAATAAAAGTACTCCAAATAAAAAGCCAAACAATAAAATAACATGCTGAATTCTTTCCAGCTGGTTTTCAATTGACTTTGCCCAGCTCAATCAGAGGAATCACTGTCTATGCAGCAATAGCTTTATGAAATTTATTTCTTAAATAGTAAGACTTGAAAGTCAAAATTACTCCTTGACTCATGGGCTGCAGAATGGATGTTGTATGACCAGGCATGAAAGCAAGATGAATCTTCCTTATACAGCTCCATCAGAGCTCTTGGGTAACCAAGTGAATTGTCAATGAGCAGTAATACTTTGAAAGGAATCTTTTTTTCAGAGCAGGAGGTTTCAATAGCAGGTGTGTTAGTCTGTTTGCATTGCTATAAAGGAATATCTGAGGTTGGGTAATTTATAAAAGAAAGAGGTTTATTTGGTTCACAGTTCTGCAGGCTGTATAGAAAGCACTGCACCAGCATCTGCTCCTGGTGAGGCCTCAGGAAGCTTACAATCATGGTAGAAGGCAAAGGGGAGCAGGTGTGTCAAAAGGTGTGTGTATGTGAGAAAAAGAGAGAGAGAGAGAGAAGGAAGAAGACAGAGAAGGGAGAGGCCCCAGGCTCTCTTAATCAACCAAATCTTGCATGAACTGAGCAAGAACTCACTCATCACCAAGGGGATGGCACTAAGCCAGCAGTCCTCAAACTTTTTGGCACCAGAGACCAATTTTATGGAAGACAATTTTTCCATGAACCATGGGGGATGGTTTCAGGATGAAACTGTTCTACCTCAGATCTTCAGGCACTGGTTAGATTCCATAAGGAGCACTCGACCTAGATACCATGGCATGCGCAGTTCACAATAGGGCGTCACACTCCTATGAGAATCTAATGCCACTATTGATCTAACAGGAAGCAGAACTCAGGCAGTAATGCGCACTTGCTCACCTCCTCCATTGCATACCTGCTGTGCGGCCCCATTCCTAAGAGGCCCTGAATTGGTACCTCACTGGTACCAATCTGCAGCCTGTGGATTAGGGACCTATGCACTAAGCCATTCATGAGGGATCCACCCCCATGACCCAAACTCTTCCCACTAGGCCCACCTCCAATGTTGGAGGTCACATTTCAACATGAGGTTTGGAGGGGACAAAACACCGAAATCCTATCAGTGGGCTTCAGATATTCTGTCAACTATACTATAAACAGATGTGCTGTCTTGCAGGCTTTGTTGTTCCACTTATAAAGCACAGGCAGAAAACAGTTACCATAGTTAAGGGCCCTAGGATTTTTCAGAATGGTCAATGAGCACTGGCTTCAACTTAAAATCACCAGGCACATTAGCCCCTATCAAGAGGGGCTTTGAAGCCAAGCACTGACTTCTCCTCTATAGCTATAAAATTCCTAAACAGCATCTTCTTCCTAGAAGGCTCTTTAATCTACATTGTTCTAAAATAGGTTATGTAGTGTGGCCACCTTCATTGATGAGCTCTGCTAGATCTTTTGGATATTGTAACTCCCTGCAGCTTCTCCATCAGCACTTGCTGCTTCAGCTTGTACTTTTATGTTATGGAGATGGCTTCTTTCCTTAAACTTTATGAACCAATGTATGCTAGCTTCAAATTTTCTTCTGCAGCTTCCTCCCTTCTCTCAACCTTCATAGAATTTAAGGAAGTCAGAGCCTTGCATGGATTAGGCTTTGGCTAAAAGGGATGTTGCAGCTTGTTTGATCTTCTATACCAACCACAAAAACTTTCTCCACAGAAGAAATAAGCCTATTTTGCTTTATCATTCATGTGTTCACCAGAGTAGCACTTTGTATTTCCTTCAAGAACTCTACCTTTGCATTTACAACTTTAACAATCTTCAAAGTACAATAAAGTAAAATACAATAAAAAGAAGTACACCTGTAGTTAAATGTATTCTAGTACCACATAGAGGTGCAAAACCTTAAAATCTCATTCAACGATTCTTAACAGCAATATTGGTATTATTTAGAAATGGTGTATTTATACATGTACTAGATATACGAACAATTATGTGAACATTGTTTGAAATAAGATTTTTGTTGTAAGAGAAGAGGAAAACAAATATAAAATCCAAGTTAAGTTATAACTATGTAGTTTTACAGTTGAATTGGAAAGTCAGTATGAAGTCATTATTTATTTTTCTTTATCACGACACATACTTTTTAGGTTCACACTTACTTGAAAAGCCTTACAGGCAATGACAACCCAGTAACAATGAGCACCCCTAGAGCCTAAACTGTGGTCCCTAAATACCATTAAATATGCATTGCATGCCCATTAAAAAGGACCCATGTCTAATTGAGGATAAAAGGTAGGAAAGGTACAAGCTAAGCATTTCACAGCTTGTTGCACAGAAAGTGAGGAAGCACTTGAGACAAAAAAGTCATAGAATAAAAGTCATAGAAGTTGGCTGGGCAAGGTGGCTCACACCTAACACTATTAGGTGTATTCCAATCCTAACACTTTGGGAGGCCAACGCGGGCAGATCACCTGAGGTCAGGAGTTCAAGACCAGTCTAGCCAACACGGTGAAACCCTATCTCTACTAAAAATACAGAAAACTAGCCAGGTACGATGGCATGTGCCTGTAGTCCCAGCTACTGGAGAGGTTGAGGCAGGAGAATTGCTTGAACCTGGGAGGCAGAGGTTGCAGTGAGCCAAGAAAAAAAAAAAAGTCATAGAAGTCACAGGAAGGGTGATATAGTTAGACTTTGTGGCCCCACCCATCTCTTCTTGAATTATAATTCCCATGATTCCTGTCAAAGGAGAGACCAAGTGGAGGTAACTATATCACGGAGGCAGTTTCCTCCATGCTGTTCTCATGATAGTGAGTGAGTTCTCACATAATCTGATGGTCTTACAGGGGCTCTTCCCTCTTCGCTCAGCATTTCTCCTTCCTGCTGCCTTATAAAGAAGGTGCCTTGCTTCCCCTTTGCACCTTCCACTGTGATTGTAAGTTCTCTGAGGCCTCCCCAGCCATGCTGAACTGTGAGTCAATGAAACCTCTTTCCTTTATAAATTGTCAGTCTGAAGCAGTTCTTTATAGCAGTATAAAACGAACTACAAAT